ATGATGATGATGATGAAAAGGGAGTTGGACCGGATGGCTCTTGGGGCCCCTTTTAATTCTAGGATGCCATGAATATTCAAGGTGGAGACATTCAATATGGACTAGATGGTGGTGGGGTCTTTAAACAGAGTCTGAATGGCCATCTGTTGGGAGGGCTTTGATTGTGCTTTTTCCCGCATGAAGGCAGAAAGGGTTTGAAGTGGATGACTCAGCAAAAGCTGCAGTTCAGTATAAGCAGGTGTGCCTGTAGCTTAGTAGCCCTCAGTTTGTAAGACTGTGGGACAACGGCCTCAGTGTGTTAGTAGGCATTGGTATAAGAAAGTCTCAATGTTAGTTGGCCTCAGTGTGAGAGAGCCCTCAGTGTGAGAGGCCTTAGTCTGAGGTAGGTGTGAGTCTGAGAGAGCCCTCAGTGTGAGAAGGCCTCAGTGTTAGTAGACCTCAGTATGAGAAGGTCTCGGTATGAGTAGACATGGTGTGAGACGTTTCGGTGAGAGAAGCCCCAGGTTAAAGGCCATCGTGTGTGAAGGCTGCTGTGTATATAAAGCCCCTATGTAAGTTTAGTGTGAGAAGAGGCTCTGTGAGAGCAAAGCTGTTAGTCTGCTTGAGAAAGAAGCCCAGCGTGGAAGCCAAGAAGTATAAACAAATATGGTTTCTTTGGGGGGGGGGGGGGGGGGGTTTAAAGTCCTTCTGTTGTTTTTTTTCTGTGTTTTTAGGGGTGATGGTCAGTCGTTGGCCTGATAGGTGTATTGTGTCCAAATTTGGTGTCAATTTGCCCAGTGATTTTGAGTTATGTTAATCCCACAAACGAACATTACTTTTTTTATATAGATGTATCACCTGCCTCTCCTTGCAGCTCAAGGCGGGGTACAACAGCTACTTTCTATCATTGGCCATCATTATTTGTTAGGATGTATTTATAGAGAATGTGAAATCCTCTGCAAATACATCAAGGGAACACTTTAATACTTCAATTGGCAGATTAGAAATCATTGCCTAGAAACAAACCAAGTAGTCAAAGTGACCTGGAAATACTATTAAACAAGCATCATGAACGTTTTAAGGGATGTTTAGAGCAAACATTTTAGAAAGGGGAAAGCTGGCCCTCGGGATACTTTCCCCCATTTTGATGAGTAAAATATGGCAGATATTGGGGGAATCATCTAGTCTTAGGCACTGGCAAAGTAATAATTAATCTCCCAACTACCTAAAAGCAATGTTTTTGGAGACGACGTCAAGGAGTCTTACTTATACAAATAGACACCTTCTCATAAATGCCCAGCACGGTAGACGACAGATGGCCATCCAGCAGCAGCGTGTCCCAGCACCAGTAGCCAAAAGTGATAGAACAAAAACAGACCAGTGTTGTCTCTTCCATAGGAGGCTTTTCTTTGTAGTACATTAGTATGGTTGCACTATTTACAACAACAAGGTTTCCATAACACAAATAAAGTTCATTATACTTCTTTCTTTGATGGGGGGGAAAGCATCAAGCATACATGCATACACCAACATCACCTCTACATATAGAATACGACAAGCACCACCCAAATATTGCATTATACATCACACTACTCTATAACACCATCCACACAATATACCTGTAATTATTTCTCCGGGTCACAAAGAACGGACTCTATTTCTCTACAAAGCTTGAAAATCATCTCAAAAGGGGAAGTCGTTCTTGTCCCCGGCAAAATAATATTTTTTATTATGACATATCATTTTATGACCCATCGTCTCCCTCGCCCTTAATGGCATTTCCCAAAATAAATAAAGCGTGGTGGGAACAATGCCCATGAAAACTAAATAACAACAGGAGGAGGGCAGTGACGGAGGGACTGGAGGGGCGAAGGAGGAGCAGCAGCCGGCCTTCGGCTCCCAAGTAAACTGGCAGTCATGGAGACATACTGGGCTGTCGCATCCATCCTCGCACTACAGGCATTACAGTTGGATAACCCGTCCACACTGCCTCCCAATCTTAAGTATAAGGCCAGAATAAGTTTCTGCAGGAGCCAAGAGCGGAGGGTGGTGCGAGTGTCCTCACTGGCTACTCCCGGCCCACACCCCCCACTAGGGTTCCCCTGGAACACACCCTGTCCCCAAGACCCACCCCTCCTTCTTTCAACTCCTGCATGCGTTATATAGAACCCAGGCCCGGCGGCAGGGTGGTTATTGGCATGTCTATGGCTGTCCATGTTCCCTCCGCCACTGGTTCCTGCTCGCCATCTCTGCACCCTAGGCCTCAAAACAGCCAGAGACAACTGTCTCGTGCCAAGAGGGACACCAAACCCAGAGCAGGAGGCAAGTAGGGTAGAATAAGGTCACCCCGCCCCTCGCGCATCCGCTGAAGTTGTCCCCACAAACAATCTCCAATCATCCTTGTAAAGTCAGACCAGGAGTTGATAGCAGGGAGCGTGGTGATTTCCGGACCGGAGAGGGCGGGGAACCCACTAATGCGGGTGGTGGGTCGGAAGGCTAGACCATAGGCACCACCCTCTGAGCTTTGGCCTCCTACCTTGTCACGAAAGCGCTGTCAGTCTGAGATTGGAGGACCCAGGAAAGGCGAGAAGTCCAAACTCAGATGCCGCGAGTGTGAATGATCAAGCCTAGTAGGCTACCATTCATGTGACAGATTGGTAGCAAGAGTCATGGCCGCTCGCTCCCTCTTCATCAAGCCCCCTCCCATGACACCTCGCCCTCCACCTATGAAGCTTCTCCACATATATTAACCACAGTGCTCTCCAGTCATCATGTCTCCTCTCAGCCTTCTCTTCTTCAGGCTAAACATACCCAGCTCTTTAAGCCGCTCCTCATAGGGCTTGTTCTCCAGACCCTTGATCTGCTCTCTCCTCCCTATGACGTCCTCTCACATATTTATACATAGCTCTCATCATGTCTCCTCTCAGCCTTCTCTTCTTCAGACTAAACATACACCAGACCTCTTTTAAGGCCCGACTCCTCATAGCTGGTTCTCCAGACACCCCTTATCTCGACTCTCATACCTCCCTATGGAACCTTTCCTCTCACACTACTTTATCTACAAAATTATACGGCTCTCACTCATGATACCTCCTCTCACCTTCTACTTTCTTCAAGCAACAGAGCCACCAGCTACTTTAGTAGCCAGCTAGACAAATAGTCCTCATAGGGCTTCGTAGTTCTCCATAGGAGTATAACGCCTGTATTATTCTGCTCTCTCCTCCCCATACTAGTCAAATATGGATGGGGGAAGACAGAGGTTGTATACTAAATAGAGACGTACATAATATACTGGGAAACAAAAGGAATACTTAAAAATTACACATAAAAAAAGAACAACATACTGTTAGATTAAATATAAAAAGACCTGAGAAAATAAATTAAAGTCTGTTAGCGCTAAAAAAACAATAAGGCAAACCTCATACCTACAATATTTATCAATATGGGCTCCTCATCATGAATCCCCTCATCAGCCTATCTGTGGCTTCAGACTATACACATGGCCCACTCTTTAAGCACTCCTCGCTAGATCTCGGACACTATAACAAGCTTGCTCCCTCCTCCCTGTGGCTTCCTCTCACATAATTTATACATGGCTATCATATCTCCTCTCAGCCTTCTCTTCTTCAGGCTAAACATGCCCAGTTCCCTAAGCCGCTCCTCATAGGGCTTGTTCTCCAGACCCTTGATCATTTTAGTCGCCTTCCTCTGGACACATTACAGCTTGTCAACATCTCCCTTCAGTTGTGGACACAATGTAATTCCAGGTTTGGTCTAACCAAGGCAGAATAGAGTATGGGGAGCATGACTTCCCTGGATCTAGACGCTATGCTCCTATTGATGCAGGCCAAAATCCTATTGGTTTTTTGTTTTGTTTTGTTTTTTTGCCACCACATGACATTGTTGGCTCATGTTTAACTTGTTGTCCACAAGGACCCCAAGATCTTTTTCACACATACCGCTCTCAAGCCACGCGTCCCCCATCCTGTATCTTTGCATTTCATTTTTGACAGAAGTCAAACTGGAAAGCTCTTATTGACCCAGGGTCCCCCTTCCTCTTTTCTGATCTCTTTTCCCCTTCTAACAATTAAACATCACCTGGCTGTGTCCTTGAGAAAGTCTAAAACAATTCAAGCTGTCACGGTGATTTAAGGATGAAGACATGTCAAGATGTGACCCAGTAAACATGTGCCATGCCAAATGCTACATTTCTGAAGGATGAGGGTCCAATCTGCCCCTCTCTTCTGATAGGATGTCCTGATTTATAAAGATTAGATAAAAATTCTACAAATGCTTTGCCTTCACCTCAGTACTCATCGTACAAAGCCCAACTTCTATTTGCATGCAAGCTTCTATGCCAACATAAATGAACCATTTAAAGCCTGCTTTCATACTTGCCAGCATGATGTAAAGGACCCAGAGTGTAAATGAAATTCAAGGGAGGAAGAGCAACTGTAATGTACAATGTAAGGTACAATGTCCCTCTCATAGGAACCTGCATGTCATAAGCATTTGAATTAAAATTACCATATTAAATTCAAATCTGATTTTTTTAATGTTATTTGGTGTGCATTGGAAGAGGGGTGGTCTTATACAGCGAGTATATCCCAAACTCTATATTTTAACTGGAAAAGTTGGGGTCGTCTTATACGCCCAGTCGTCTTATATGCCGGAATATACGGTATATACACAAGCACACACAAATATACACATATACACACACATATACACCTACACGCATATACATATACACATACATATACACATAAATACACACATATACACAAACACGCACACATATATACACAAATATATACACACATTACAACGCATGTGCAAAACCACATATATATACGCAAGCACACATATGTACACATATACACAAATATATGCACACACACACAAAACACATATACACAGACTGGGCCACAGCAACACGTGGCAGTGGATGGCTAGTTTATAATAATAATAATAATAATATTATATTGTATTATATTATTAATAATATTTTCTCTATTAAGCTCCGGGCCGGCCCATTCGACGAGTTCCAGATTGCAACGATGCTCAAGGAAATCCTGAAAGGCCTCGACTATCTACACTCAGAGAAGAAGATCCACAGAGATATAAAAGGTGTGTATGTAGTAAACAAATGGAAAGGGCCAAACCAGTTTACGCGGGAGATGCTTCCCTTTTTAAATTGCTCCTTTCTTCTCCCTCCAAGCCGCCAACGTCTTGCTGTCGGAGCAAGGAGATGTCAAACTCGCAGATTTTGGCGTCGCAGGACAACTGACCGATACCCAGATCAAGAGGAACACCTTTGTCGGGACGCCGTTCTGGATGGCCCCTGAAGTCATCCAACAGTCAGCTTATGACTCAAAAGTAAGTCTCATGCCTTTGTGAGAGTTTGTGTTTGATTGTGGCTTTTGGCTTCCTGCATTTGACCAGCTTTTTTCTTCTCTCTCACATCAAAACATGAATTTTTTTCTTTCCTGTTGAAAGCCCAAAATGGTTCTGCAACTAGAGGGATAGTATGCACACTAGTATTGCAGAGATGCCGCCGCTCCTCTTCCCTTGTGGCCGAGGTGTTGTCGTGTCTCCTCTTGACTTCCTGTTGGGCTCCTTTTTGCACAGCATAACCGTGCGCGTTTGCCTTTTGTTCTTATCTTCTGATGGAGCAATTCCACCATTTGCCATAAGCACAACTACCAAGGTCATTAAACTGACATTAGACGTTGGTGTTGAAAAGATGGGCCAAGTTCCATATTGAAAGGAATTCCTATAGAGTTCACATAGGAATTCTGTGCCTGTGTCTGCACTTTCACACGTATTATGCACCATTGTAGCCTGCAGAAGAGAAGTTTGAAAGGAGACATGAGAGCCATGTTTAAATATTTGAAAGAATGCCATAAGGAAGAGGGAGGAGGCTTGTTTTCTGTTTCTCTAAAAACTAGGCCAAAATAGAGCCATGGGTTATAATGACAGAAAAAGAGACTCCACCTGAACACAAGGAAAAACTCTCTGACCTTAAGAAAAGAACCATCGAGGACTCTAAGATCATCTGGGGAGGCCCTGCTCTCGGTCCTGCCTTCGTCTCAAGTACGTTTGGAAGGGAAGAGAGACAGGGCCTTCTCAGTGGTGGCCCCTCGGCTATGGAACTACCTCCCTAGGGAGATTAGGTCTGCTCCCTCCCTCTTAACGTTTCGGAGGCAAGTTAAAACATGGCTGTTCGAGCAAGCGTTTACAAATGCAGAGTAGCTAATATAGGAAATTGAACGATTTGACAATGGAACTGGACAATGCTTGATAATAATGAGATGTTGTTTTTATTGCTTTTGTGGTGTTTTATATTGTTTAATGTTTTAATCTGTATTATGTTTTTATATGTATTGATTTGTTGGAAACTGCCTTGAGTTGCCGATTGGCTAAGAAAGGCGGTTTACAAATAAATAAATAAATAAATAAATAAATAAATAAATAAATGCTGTTCAGCAGTGGAACTCCCTGCCTCGAAGTCCAGTGGAAGCATCTTCTTTGAAGGCTCTTAAACAGAGGCTGGGTGGACATCTTGTCAGGAGGGGCTTTGATTGTACTTTTCCTGCATGAAGGCAGAAGGGGGTTGGACTAGATGACAATTGGGAGTCCCTTCCAACCCTATGATTCCATACCCTTTATCTGGGAGAGGACTTTCTCTTTGATCTGGGATTGCAGGAAGGAGGAAAGATCAATAGTGTTTCTGGAAATGTTGGGATCCAGTGGAGATATACTATAGTATTGGGTCTCGAATCTTTTTTTTTTTCATGTCAAACTACAAGAAAGGAGATTCCATCTGAACATGAGGAAGAACTTCCTGACTGTGAGAGCCGTTCAGCAGTGGAACTCTCTGCCCGGAGTGTGGTGGAGGCTCCTTCTTTGGAAGCTTTTAAACAGAGGCCGGATGGCCATCTGTCAGGGGTGATTTGAATGCAATATTCCTGCTTCTTGGCAGGGGGTTGGACTGTATGGCCCATGAGGTCTCTTCCAACTATAACTTGAGGAACTCACATCAGAAGCAAATTGCTTCTGGTGTGAGAGAATTGGCTGTCTGCAAGGACGCTGCCCAGGGGACGCCCAGTTTTTTTACCATCCTGTGTGAGGCTTCTCTCATGTCTCACTCATAACTGACATCAAGTCTCAGTTTGGGTAGAAGACACACTATAAGACAGGTGTATAATAATTACATAGTTGTGGTTTGTTATTGTTGTGTGCCTTCAAATATGGCGACTGAAAGGGTTGCCTTTGCCTTCCTCTGAGGCTGAGAGCATGCCACTTGCCCTTGGTCACCCAGTGGGTTTCATGGTTCCAGAGTTGTGGTCCAGTGCTCAAAACCTTAAGCCACTCCATAGAATCCTAGAGTTGGAAGAGACCTCGTGGGCCATCCAGTCCAACCCCATTCTGCCAAGAAGCAGGAAAATTGCATTCAGAGGCTGGATGGCCATCTGTTGGGGGTGCTTTGAATGCAGTATTCCTGCTTCTTGGCAGGGGGTTGGACTGGATGGCCCATGAGGTCTCTTCCAATTCTAGGATTCTATTATTCTAAAGCACCCCTGGCAGATTTATTTATTTATTTATTTACAGCTTTTATATTCCGCCCTTCTCACCCCGCAGGGGACTCAGGGCGGATTACAGCATACACATATATGGCAAACATTCAATGCCAATTTTTGACATACAAACATATACACAGAGGCTATTTAACTTTTTTTTTCGGGCCGCCAGGGGAGCTGTCGCTTTCCTCGTCCATCTGTGACGCTGATTAAGCACTTCCGCATTCCCCGCATACTTCCCTGCTGGAATGCTTTGCTGGAGTCTTCTTTATGGCCTCATAAATCAGTTAATTTAGCCTCCCCACACTTTTAAGGTGGTACCTAATTTTCCTACTTGACAGATGCAACTGTCTTTCGGGTTGTAAAGGTCGACAACAGGCTACACACAATTGGTTGGAAACCCACTCCAACCCGGGCTGGCTTCGAACTCATGACCTTTTGGTCAGAGTGATCTTAATGCAGCTGACACTCAGCCAGCTGCGCCACAATCCCGGTGCGATCCCAGATGGCCATTCAGCCTCTGTTTAAAAGCCTCCAAAGAAGGAGCCTCCACCACACTTCTCGGTACAGAGTTCCACTGCTGAACAGCTCTAACTGTTAGGAAGTTCTTCCTAATGTTGAGTTGGAATATCCTTTCTTGTCGTTTGAAGCCATTATTTTGTATCCTAGCTCCAGGGCAGTAGGTCTTGGGAGGTTGTGCTTCCTGTTTACAGTTCAAAATGTCTGGCTTCCTGCGTGTTGAGGTGTCCTTTTCTTTTTTGCCCTCAGGCTGATATCTGGTCTCTGGGAATCACTGCCATCGAACTGGCGAAAGGAGAGCCGCCCAACTCCGACATGCACCCAATGCGAGTTCTCTTTCTTATCCCCAAGAACAACCCTCCCACTTTAATAGGGGACTTCAGCAAACCCTTCAAAGAGTTTATAGATGCGTGTCTCAACAAGGACCCAACGTTTGTAAGTCTTGCCTTGACCTGACTTTGTATTCTATATTCACATTTGTACATCTTACTTTTAATTGTCCCTGAATTCAAAATTGGAATGAATGTTACATGTTGTTTGTCCTGTGATTCAAAAGACATCAATAACTGGAACAAATAAACCTCAGATGGTCACAAGACGTTGGAGGTTACAATAATATCTATCTCAGGAAAGAAGTATATAGGATATATTCATAAGGCTTTGATAGTTTGTGCAGTTTTAAAACAGACTGGAATCGTTTATCAGCTCAAATACGAGGGGTATTTTTTAAGTAAGGTCCGTTTGAACATAAGTACACAACGAAAGTTTATTTCAAAAAAATAATTTTATTTTCAGAAAGTACATACTTCACTCTATTTTTCGACATAGTTGCCAAGTTTGTTCAAACACTTATCATACCTCTGAACCAATTTTAAAATACCCTCTTCATAAAAACTTGCTGCCTGCTCCGATAACCAAGAGTTCACTGCCGTTTTCACGTCGTCCTCATCATGGACGTTGTCACGACCATCTTTGAATTGTCGTACCCACTTACGCACTTTGCTTTCACTCATAACAGTATCACCGTACACTTCACAAATCTGTCGATGAATTTCTGCAGCAGGCAGGTTCCTTGCTGACAAAAACCGTATCACTGAGCGAACCTCACATGCAGAGGGTGAGTTGATAGTCTTAAACATTTTTAAAGCACAGAACAGAACCGTACAGGTTAGCTACAGAGCAGAAACTGAGCACAGTTGTTCCCGAGGCATGCCGGTACACTACGCACGTGCTCGTTGCGGTATGTGCACGAATTACTAATGTCTACAACAAAACGGACCTTACTTAAAAAATACCCCTTGTAGTATACTAGTGTTAGAATCACAGACATCTTAAAGGGCCAGACTCAAAGGTGGCTTCAAAACAGAGTTTATTAAAACAAAAGGAAAAGGACGCAGAGGTACTTAAATGCAGTGTCACTGGTCAAAACTCAAGAAACAATCAGACCTGGTCCAAAAAGGTTAACAGAAATATAATCCAGATTAACTGGATGCAAAAGGAACGAATCAAACAAAGCGCTGTGAGGCAAAACAAAAAGGCACAGTGCACAAATGGTTAACAAAAGGAGGGGCCGCAGGAAGAGAAGCGTCGTCAGCTGAAGTCCAGGTTTGAAGCGGGAGAAATCCGAAACAGCGCTGCTCCAGTGTCCGCAGAAGCAGTGTCTTTAGCCAAGCCGGTCCAGGAAAGGATAAGTCAACATTCACGAAAAGCAAATCCGAATCCATGTTGCAATCCAGAGCAGGAAACGAGACCATAAGATAACAATCCACCACACTTGACTGTGGGGAAAAAACGATCCCTTTTTATTGATGAAAAATGGTTACAAAATAGAGGAAAATGCAAAGTCAAAAAGCCACAATAAAATTCAGCAGTCAGGAATATCCATGAATTAGATGAAAATTCCAAAAGCAACACTGTAAAAACCTGGAACCTGTTAGCAAATCACTAACCATACTTGGAGCACTAGAAGCCTCTTGGGATGTAGGCCACGGGAAACAGGGAAATCTGCCAAGGTAATGCCTCATTCTAAACGATGCCTGATCTAACGAGACAGCCCGGCGAGAGGTACTTAAAACTGAAGAAACTGCTTCATGACACGCCTCCAGGCTTTGAAGCCTGAGCTTCCTTTTCCCTTAATCTGCTTGACTTTCGCAGACTCTGCAATTCACTCCTGTTTTTCCAAATCTGTCCTTTTCTATCCTCATTAAGGAAGCCAGGTGCTATCTCCTCTGGAGAGTTATCACCGCTTGGCTCTACAACATTCTCATCAGAATGTGTAGTTTCACTTTCCAAGCCACTGACCTCAGGGAGAAATACATTTTCAGTAGCATCAGGAAAGACAATAAGAGAATCAGGTTCAGGTTCAGCAATCAGAGAATCAGGTTCAGGTTCACACACAGGCTGAACCCCAACAGCCCATAACACGCAAACGATCAGGCAATCCAAACTGCAGATCCAACGCTGAACACGAAACAGACAGCAACAAGTCTACAAGAATATTTTCCAATACACAGTACCCAACACATGAACGCTCACCAACACCTTGCCTTCTGCAAGTACCCATCACTCCTGAACCCACTTTTATTTACAAATCATCATCAGAAGATGAACTGACCACCGCCCCAGCATTATCTCCCACAGCTGCTCCCAGCTCTTCATGCGAATTCCCTTGCCTTTCCCTCCATTGTCAAGACTTAGGTTCCCCCAAGACTCCGTTGGATCCCCTGATTGCCAGTCTTCACCCCCAGAGAACCCCATAAAGGTATCACTAGTTATTGGCTCCTCACAAATAGCTTGCACTTCTCTTAGTCCAATCCATGGTGTCTCCTTCTTCTTCACTCATTGTCTTATTGATAATGTTGTATGTTATTGTCTATGTTCTTTATTTTAATTGCTTGTATTGTTGTGTTTGGGCTCGGCCTCATGTAAGCCGCACCGAGTCCCTTGGGGAGATGATAGCGGGGGTACAAATAAATTATTATTATTATTATTATTATTATTATTATTATTATTATTACTATTGACCCATCATCCCCAGAGAATCCCTCAAACGACTCCTCATCTGTAGGTGCTGTAAATATGTCCTGGATCCTCCTCTTCTGCTGCTCATCATCAGATTCCTGCTCCCGAGGAACCCATCCCCCCCCCCCGGCACCCATACTACTGTTTGTAACGTTACTCACAGGCTCTACTACAACAACTAGCATCAGATTAGAAAGTATTTCTTGTTTAGCATATGTAATCTCATTTTACAGTCAAATCTAGTCTCTAGTCCTTGGCCTTCCTGGCTTATCTATCGAACTTGCTAATGGGGATTGACTGAGTGGTTTACGAGAATTATAAATGCCTCGTTGGAACAGGGACAAATGCCTTTGAGCCTTAAAAAGCCAATAGTGGTACCAATTTTGAAGAAGGTGTCCCTGGACTCCTCAATATTAAATAACTACCAGTCTGTTTCTAATCTCCCTTTTTTGGGGAGAAGGTGGTGGCTTCTCAGCTCCAGGCATTCTTGGATGAAACAGATTATCTTGATCCATTGCAGTCTGGTTTTAGGCCTGGTCAAAGAATGGAGAGGGCTTTAGTGCATGTGTTTTAACAACAACAACAATAATAATCTTTATTTATACCCCGCCACCATCTCCCCAATGGGGACTCGGAGCGGCTTACATGGAGCCAATTCCAGACAGCATATTACAACAAGATATAACCAAAGCATAAACAATAAACAATATCATCAAAATTACATAAAAGGGTGGGGGGGAAATTATAAATACAGTCATAAAGTAACATTCCAATAAGCACAATCACAATAACAATGGGCGGGCCACATGTACAGGATAAAATTATTAAAAGACTCGAATGAGATAAAAATAGGAGCAAGTTATTTGCAGGGAACTCATAAAAACACACAGAGTTGTGAAGCTAAACTTCCCATGTGGAGGGCGTGTATTCCAGTGGGAAGAGCATTGAGGGGTGCAATGGTATATTGTGCACTTACTCGCCAAAGGTGCAACAGAAGAGCCAGGTTTTAAGGTCCTTTTTGAATGTTCCAACAGACCTCACTACCTCTGAGGATGCTTGCCATAGATGCAGGCGAAACGTCAGGAGAAATGCCTCTAGAACATGGCCATATCGCCCGAAAAAACCTACAACAACCCATGTTGGAAGTGTTTTGTGCACCAATATCAATAGTCCTGCCCTTTGGTCATACTTGTGTTCTTCAGGGCAACTTTACTAGGCTTTAAAAAGATGATAAAATTCAGAAAATTTGTTAAAAGTCAGAAGAAAATGGAAATTTAAAATAGACTGCTCCTTCTCCAGCAAAAAAGGGGATTGAGACCATGTCCCTTTATCTCTCTTCCAGCGCCCCACAGCGAAGGAACTCCTAAAGCACAAATTCATCCTAAAGAACGCCAAGAAGACGTCTTACCTGACAGAGCTGATCGACAGGTTTAAGAGGTGGAAAGCCGAAGGGCACAGCAGCGATGAAACTGACTCTGATGGTTCCGATTCGTAAGTCTGGGTTTGGGGACTAAAGGGGTTGCCATGTCAAAGAGCTCCAATTGAGAATGGTAGAAGGGAAGGCCAGTCTGTCAGAAATATTAAACATTAACTATTTTTAATTACAAAAATGTGAGTCAAGCACTGAAAGGATTAAATGGATGCAATGATTCGGCAAAAGCTGCAGTTCTATATAAGCACCGGGACTGTGGTACAGTTGGCTGAGTGTCAGCTGCATTAAGATCACTTCTGACCAAAAGGCCATGAGTTCGAAACCAGCCCAGGTCAGAGTGAGCTTCCGACCAATTGTGTAGCTTGTTGTCGATCTTTGCAACCCGAAAGACAGTTGCATCTGTCAAGTAGGAAAATTAGGTACCACCTATGTGTGGGGAGGCTAAATTAACTAATTTACGAGGCCCTAATAAAGACTCCAGCAAAAGCATGCGGGGAATGCGGAAGTACTTCAGTGTCGCAGTTGGACGATGAAAGCGACAGCTCCCCTGGCGGCCAGAAAAGTTAAATAGCCTCTGACTGTCTGTCTATATGTTTTGTGTGTCTTTGGAATTGAATGTTTGCCATATATGTGTACATTGTAATCCGCTCTGAGTCCCCTGCGGGATGAGAAGGGCGGAATATAAATACTGTAAATAAATAAATAAATAAGCAGGTGTGCCTGTAGCTTAGTAGCCTTCGGTCTGAGGTAAACCTCGGTGGGAGAAAGGTCTCAGTCTTTGAGAAGGCCTCACAGTGAGAGGTAGGCCTTTGTGAGAGAAGGCCTCACAGTGTGAGGTAGGCCGTAGTCTGTGAGAGGAGGCCTAACAGTATGAGGTAGGCCGTAGTCTGTGAGAGGAGGCCTAACAGTATGAGGTAGGCCTTAGTCTGTGAGAGGAGATCTACCAGTATGAGGTAGGTTGTAGTCTGTGAGAGGAGGCCTAACAGTATGAGGTAGGCCATAGTCTGCGAGAGGAGGCCTAACAGTGTGAGGTAGGCCGTAGTCTGTGAGAGGAGGCCTAACAGTAAGAGGTAGGCCGTAGTCTGTGAGAGGAGGTCTAACAGTGTGAGGTAGACCTTAGTCTTTGAGAGGAGGCCTAACAGTATGAGATAGGCCTTTGTGAGAGAAGGCCTCACAGTATGAGGTAGGCCTTAGTCTGTGAGAGGAGGCCTAACAGTATGAGGTAGGTCTTTGTGAGAGAAGGCCTCACAGTGTGAGGTAGGCCTTAGTCTGCGAGAGGAGACCTACCAATATGAGGTAGGCCGTAGTCTGTGAGAGGAGGCCTAACAGTATGAGGTAGGTTGTAGTCTATGAGAGGAGGCATAACAGTGTGAGGTAGTCTGTAGTCTGTGAGAGGAGGCCTAACAGTATGAGGTAGGACGTAGTCTGTGAGAGGAGGCCTAACAGTATGAGGTAGGCCTTAGTCTGTGAAAGGAAGCCTAACAGTATGAGGTAGTCTGTAGTCTGTGAGAGGAGGCCTAATAGTATGAGGTAGGCCTTTGTGAGAGAAGGCCTCACAGTGTGACGTAGGCCTTAGTCTGTGAGAGGAGGCCTAACAGTATGAGGTCGCCGTAGTCTGTGAGAGGAGGCCTAATAGAATGAGGTAGGCCTTTGAGAAAAGGCCTCACAGTGTGAGGTAGGCCTTAGTCTGTGAGAGGAGACCTAACAGTGTGAGGTAGGCCTTAGTCTGTGAGAGCAGGCCTAACAGTATGAGGTAGGCTTTTGTGAGAGAAGGCCTCACAATGTGAGGTAGGCCATAGTCTGTGAGAGGAGGCCTAACAGTGTGAGGGTAGGCCGTAGTCTGTGAGAGGAGGCCTAACAGTATGAGGTAGGCCTTAGTCTGTGAGAGGAGGCCTCAGTGTGAGTAGGCCTGGTGTGAGAAGCTTCAATGAGAGAAGCTCCAGGTTGAAGGCCTTTTGTGTAAAGCTTCATCTGTGAAGAAAAGAAGGCCACTCTTGCTATCAGGGATCAGAGAAAAGATTCCCAACATTGGTTTTCCAACCATTTGGGACTTCAGCTCCCATGATTCCTGGCTGGGGCTTTTGGGAATTGAAGTCCAAAACACTTGGAGGAGGAAAGATTGGGAACGACGGCTTTAGGGCACTGACTACACTGCTTTTGTAGTGCAGCCAGCTGTTCTCTCCAGGTTTGGAATTAGTCTTTGTTTCTTCTGCTTCGGCAATACATAAACCGAATGGATGTCTTTCCAATTAACATGCGAACGGGCTTTAATGCAGTAGCGCTGTGGCCTGAAACATCATTGCTCTTTTCCACCTTTTTCCCCCCATCAGGGAGTCTAGCAACAAGGAGAACAATTCTCACCCAGAGTGGAGTTTTACTACCGTTCGGAAGAAGCCAGATGCCAAGAAACTGCAGAACGGAACAGTACGTCCCGCCAGAACCCCTTCTTTTCTTATTCTCTCCAATCCTTGGAAGCAGTTTCAGTCCAAGCCGTAATCGCTCTTGGTACTTCGGGAATTGCATGTCACTCTCACTTGCACACCGTTATTGCTTAGCAATGGGGATTATGGTACGCTTGGCCATCCAATAGTCAAGTGTGTGAAAAGATGTAAATGATCCAAACCAAAAGGACTCTTTTGCATTTTTATTTACTATTATTTATTATTATTATTATTATTATTATTATTATTACTACTACTAGCTGTACCCACCACGCGTTGCTGTGGCCAACCTTCCCTTTTTCTCCCCTCCTTTCCCTCCTTCCTTCACTCCCTCTTTCCTTCTTTCCCTTTTTTCTTTCCTTCTCTTCTTCCTTCCTTCTCTACCTCTTTCCTTCCTTCCCCCTTTTTCTTTCTCTTCTGTCTCTCTTTTCTTCCTTCTCCATTTCCTTCTTTCCTTCCCTCCCTCTTTCCCTACATCTTCCCTACATCGTCCAGGTTAAAAGGTTGAGAAACACTGCTTTTAGATTGGTGTTTCTCAACCTGGGGGTCGGGACCCCTGGGGGGGTCGCAAGGGGGCGTCAGAGGGGTCCCCGAAGACCATCAGAATATACAATATTTTCTGTTGGTCATGGGGGTTCTGTGTGGGAAGTTTGGCCTAATTCTATCATTGGTGGGGTTCAGAATGCTCTTTGGTTGTAGGTGAACTATAAATCCCAGCAACTACAACTCCCAAATGTCAACATCAATCTCCTCCAACCCCACCGGTATCCAAATTTGGGCGTATCGGGTATTTGTGCCAAATTTGGTCCAGTGAATGAAAATCCATCCTGCATATCAGATATTTACATTATGATTCATAACAGGAGCAAAATTACAGTTATGAAGTAGCAACAAAAATAATGTTATGGTTGGGGGTCACCACAACATAAGGAACTGTATTAAGGGGTTGTGACATTAGGTAGGTTGACAACCACTGTTTTAGATAGTGGTGACTTTTCTGTAGCCAAAAAGTGGGATGTTCTTTGAATATTTCTGTTTCGCCCTCTGTCGCAATGGTAGCGATAAAATTAGTAAAACCAATGTTTGAACGCTGCTTTTCTCCCCCCTCCAGGACCAAGATCTCATGAAAACCCTGAGCTGCTTATCCATGATTATCACCCCTGTCTTTGCCGAGGTGAGTCCTCCTTTCGGTCTTAGACTCCAGGCGAAGCATTTATGGGGAATGTTTCACCCCCTGACCAGATCTTGTCCCTCTGCCCTTCTGCAGCTCAAGCAGCAAGACACCAATAACGCCAGCAGGAAGAAGGCCATCGAAGAGCTTGAAAAAAGCATCAGTTTAGCTGAAACGACGTGTCCAGGGATCACAGACAAGATGGTGAAGAAGCTGATGGAGAAATTTCAGAAGTAAGTACTCGACCTTCATTTCCATAGTGTCCCTTGCAGTGTCTTCCCGTAATGGATGCCAGTGGCTTTGTTTCTAGGGAAGACATAGTGTAAAGAGCCCTAGGAAGCAATCTGAAATGAGCGGTTGCAAATGGAACTAGAAAGAAAACGTTTGGAGACAAGAGAAGAAAGGGTTTAGAGATGGAGAAGGATAGGTTTGAAGATAGAGAAGAAAAGGTTCGGAGATGGAAGAGAATGGGTTTGGAGATTGAGAAGAATGGAGATGGACAGGTTTGCAGCTGGAGTGGTATGGGTTTGGAGATGGAGAAGAACAGATTTGGAGATGAAGAATGGGTTGGGAGGTGGGGAAGGACGGGTTTGCAGATGGAGGAGAATGGGTTGGGAGATAGAGAAGAACAGATTTGGAGATTAAGGAGGATGGGTTTGGAGATGGAGAAGAACGGACTTGAAGGTGAAGGATGGGTTTGGAGATGGAGTAGAATGGGTTTGGAGATGGGGAAGGACAGGTTTACAGATGGAGGAGGATGGGTTTGGAGATGGAGAAGAACAGATTTGGAGATGATGAATGGGGTTGGAGATGGAGAAGGACTGGTTTTGAGATGGAGAAGGATGGGTTTGGAGGTGGAGAACGGATTTGGAAATTATAAATGGGTTTGGAAATGGAGAAGAACAGTTTTGGAGATGGAGAAGGGTGGGTTTGGAGATAGAGAAGAACGGATTTGAAGGTGAAGGATGGGTTTGGAGATGGAGTAGAATGGGTTTGGAGATGGGGAAGGACAGGTTTACAGATGGAGGAGGATGGGTTTGGAGATGGAGAAGAACAGATTTGGAGATGATGAATGGGGTTGGAGATGGAGAAGGACTGGTTTTGAGATGGAGAAGGATGGGTTTGGAGGTGGAGAACGGATTTGGAAATTATAAATGGGTTTGGAAATGGAGAAGAACAGTTTTGGAGATGGAGAAGGGTGGGTTTGGAGATAGAGAAGAACGGATTTGAAGGTGAAGGATGGGTTTGGAGATGGAGTAGAATGGGTTTGGAGATTGGGAAGGACAGGTTTACAGATGGAGAAGGATGGGTTTGGAGATGGAAAAGAATGGATTTGGAGATGGAGAAGGTCGGGTTTTTTCAGATAGAGAAGGAGGGTGGGTTTGGAGATGGATAAGAATTGGTTTGGAGATGGAGAAGAAAAGATTTGGAGATGGAGAAGAATGGGTTTGGTGATGGAAAAGGATGGGCTTGGTGATGGAGAAGAAAAAGTTCGGTGATTATTTGGGAATCACTGATATAGATAGATGTGAGCCTCTAAGAATTCAGAATCGCAGTGTGATTTTGACCGGAAACTTCTCTCCCCAGGTTTTCCGTGAACGACTCCTCCTAAGCAATGGATGCCGTTTCAATCCGGCATCCGGCCCACCAGAACATACTCTAGAAAAAGCTTGGCAGATGCTTTGGTCGTCAGCTCCTTGTGCCTTTCGGGATCATTGCGACGTTATCTGAGGATCGGGGGATTTCAAAGGACCGGACTCTACTGATTTCGTGATGGCTTCTTCTTCTTCTTTTTGTATATCCGGGACACATCCCTTTTTATTTTAATTTGTAAAGAGCAACTTTTAATAGGGTAGTTTCCACCAATTTAATCCAGTTGAGAACAAACACCATGCGTTTAGCTACTAGGTGTAATTTAGGGGCAATTTGCGAGATCTGGAGGCGGACGACGCCCATTCAGTCACTTGGTGAAAAGTACATTTTTCTGATGGTCTTCTCACTCCTTTGGTTCGAAAGCGACCCATAGAATGGCGAAACGGGGCGGCTTTCCACCGAAATATGTAACCCTTGGCCAACTTTCTAGCTGGCGAAATGCTGTAAAACCCTACGGCTTTTTGGGGAAACGGGCTCCGCAATCGCCTCCCGTTTTTGAGAGCAATATGCCGATAGCTTTGCGAGTTTCACGTTGTAGCTTAGTGAACAGTTTGTAAGTGTCTTTTTCCCCCTTTCTGGTTAAATCATTCATCATGGTAAGGAGAATTTTGTTAAAAAGCAATATAGTTGCGGAAGTCCTTTCTTTTGGGGAGAGGGCAATAATGGACCCGCAATCCGGCTTCACTGAATCCCCCTTCTTTTTTTCCATTTTGGGAGGAAATACCTCGCAAACAGGTATCAAAACGCATGCGAGCAACACCAGCGATGTTTGGGTTTTCTCTTCCTTATGAGATATTTATACGCTTTGTTCCAAAAAAATTACATAAAATTGCGTTACAATGAGCTTACTTCCCCATATATGTATATATATGCAGTAGAGTCTCGCTTATCCGACTTTTGCTTATCCGACATTCCATCTTATCCAACACTCTTATCTGATGCCCCCCTTTTCCTTCAGCATTTCACCTTCAATTAAAAGAGCGCTCCCCAATTCTCTCTCCATTCCCAGTAAGTGAAAAAGACAAGGAAAGGAGGAGGAAGGGAGGAAGGAAGGAGGAGAAGAGGCAGGACCAGTAGCGGAAGCGTCCTCCCTCCTTCCCTCTTCCGCATCCGGCCATTTCCTGCTGCATTTCCCCTTCAATTAAAGGAGTGCTCCCCAACTCTCTCTCAGTTCCCAATAAGTTAAAAAGGCAAGACGAGGAGGACAAGGAGGGAGGAAAGGGGGAAAAGAGGCAGGACCGGAAGCGGAAGCATCCTCCCTCCTTCCCTCTGTGATTTCCACACTCCTCTTCCGCATCCGGGCACTTCCTGCTGGGCCGCTCTAGCCCCGAGGTCTTGCCTTGCCTTGCCTGAGTCTCTGTTGGTAGTATTCTAGGTGTCCAGTGCCACGTCAGGCAGGTAACAGTCAGAGATTCCGTATTATCCAAAATTTTCGTTTATCCGACATTCTGCCGGCCTGTTTGTCGGATCAGCGAGACTCTACTGTATATATATATTTACCCGTTAGTATGCAAAATAACTGAGTTAGAGACATTCTTTCACACACAACAACAACAACAAAAAGGTAGTACTGTGCAGTAAGGGTGATTTTTTGAATTATTAAACTCGCTTTTAGTTATATATTTATGGTACTGTTTAGATGGGTTAATCTCTCTTTTTTTTCCTCCCTTTTTCGACCCAATCTGTATATTATGCTGAAGTTTGAAGTGTGGGGTTGTATTTCAGTCCTTAGCTGTGGAACATGTGGGTGTAAATTTATTTTTGATAAAGAAGTCTTGGATGTGTTTTAATTTTATAGTTCAGCTCTGCACATGTTTATCTTTTCTTTTTTGCACAAAAGTCCATTGCTTTTTTAGAAAAAGGATTTGAAGTCTATCTGCCAAATATTGAAAGAGTTGCAAGCAAATATTGAATTTTTTTTAGTTTCAAAAAGTTGCCATTATTACATCCTTTTTTTAAAAAAAGGTAATAGATATATAAAGACGCTGGCAAGAGATAGGGGTGGGGTTGGGATTGCAAAGGGCAATTATTTTCAATGGTGCCTACACTGTAAAAAAAAATAAGAGAGAAAAAAGACATTACTTTTAACTCCTTTTGTTTTAATTTTCCAAGAAATGTTTGCTAAAGAAGAAAAAAATAAAAACTTTCGTCGCTTATATAACTTGAGACACAATTAGAAAAATTTATATCCGAGGAGTAAAAAAATTAAATAAAATAGAAGTCAGGACATAGTTTTTGAAAACGATAATGTTAATGGATTAAATACAAAAAAAGAGAGATATTTTTATAAATGTACAAGCCGCAAAAAAGTTGTAAATACAGTTGATCGGAAGCTTTACGAAACAACCGCGTCGCCGAGACAGAAGCGTAGCGCTCTTCCCTGTAGCTTTTAGTCCTGTAAATCCGTTTATAAATGAAGCTTCTCTCATCACTGTTGTTTTTTTGAGGGAGGGGGCCAGCAAGGGGCAGCGGAGGACGGTGGGAAAGTTTAAGAAACGAAATAAAATATTTAAGTTCTGTACACCTCTGGCAGGCCTCCTTTGTACCTCTCTCTTAGGCAAGAGAATGAATTATTCACACAATCAGATGGAAAGGCGGAACCCACTTCTCGCAGAATCTCATTTGCTGGGATCCTATGAGCAACAGACGTCTCCGTCAATGAAATGACCTTTCCCTTCTCATTGCAGACGCTATATATCACGCCTGGGCAAACTTTCTAACTTGGGAGCCGCATGCTAGTACTCCCTACTATGAGGACTGGCTGCTCGGTGATAGAAGGGAAGGAGGAAGGAAAAGAGAGGAGGAAGGACAAAAGGGAGGAAATGAAGGATGGGAGGAAGAGGGAGGAGGAAGGAAGGAAGAGAAGGAAGGGAGGAAGGATGAAAGAAAAAAGAGGGAGAGAGGAAAGGAAGGCAAGACAAGAAAGAAGAGTGAAAGGGTGGAAAGGAAGGATGGAAAGAAGAAAAGGAAAAAAGAAGGAAGAAAGGGATGAAGAGAAGGATGGAAGGAAGTGAAGGATAAAGGAAAGACAAGAGGAAAGGAAGGAAAGGGAGAGGGAGGGAAGGAAGGACGAAAGGGTGAAAGTGAAGGACAAAGGAGAAAGAGATGGAAGGAAGGGAAGGATAAAGGAAAGAAGAAACAAGAAGGAAGGAGAAGAGTGAGGGAGAAAAGACGGAAGGGCAAAAGGGTAGAAGGAGATGGGAGAATGGAGGTGAGGAAGGAAAGGAAAGACAAAAGGGAGGGAAGGAAGGGATGGAAGAAGAAAGGAAGAGAGGAAAGGAAGGAAAGACAAAAAAGAAAGAGTGAAAGGGTGGAAAGGAAGGATGGAAAGAAGAAAAGGAAAAAAGAAGGAAGAAAGGGATGAAGAGAAGGATGGAAGGAAGGAAATGAAGGATAAAGGAAAGACGAGGAAAGGGAGGACGAAAGGGTGGAAGTGAAGGACAAAGGAAAAAGAGGTGGAAGGAAGGGAAGGATAAAGGAAAGAAGAAACAAGAAGGAAGGAGAAGGGTGACAGAGGAAAGACAGAAGGAAGGACGAAAGGGTAGAAGGATAGAAGGAGATGGGGAAGGAGGGAGGAAGGAGAAGGAAGGCGGAAAGGATGGAAGGTGAGGAGGAAGGAAATAGAGAAGGAAGAAAAGGTGGAAGAGAAGGAGAAAGTGGGAGGAAAGAAGGAAGGATAGGATGATAAGAGAGAGGAGGGCCTGAGAAAAGAGCCCAAAGGGTTGCATCTAGCCCCCTGGCCTGGGTTTACCCATGCCTGCTATATATCAAAAGTCAAAGTATGTGTGTGTGTGTGTTTATGTTTGCACCACAGAGGCTGTTGCTAGGTGAAGTGGCCCTCTGTGATGTCACTGGGAAAGGAAAGTGATGTGTGTATGAGGGGAAAGACGGACGAGGGGGAAAACAAGAAGAAAAGAAAGAAAAGGGGGAAAGAGAAGGAGGGAATGAAGAGGGGGGAGGAATAAGGAAAGAAAGAAAAGAAGAGTGGAGGAAAGTGTATGAAGGAAAACAAGAAAGGAAAGAAGGAGGGAAGGTGTATGAGGGAAAACAAGAGACGGGACAGAAGGACAGAAGAAAAGAGGAGGAAGGTATATGAGGGAAAACAAGGAAAGGGAAAGGAGGGAAGATGTATGAAGGAAAATGAGATGGGAGGACAGAAGAGAGGAAGGGAAGGAAGAGGGGAAGGTGTATGAGGTAAAACATGGGAAGGAAAAGGAAAGAAGGAAAGGTGTATGGGGGAAAACAAGACAGGACGAAAGAAGAGAAGAGGAAGGAAAAGAAAGAAGAGGGGAAAGTATGAGGGAAAACAAGGGAAGGAAGAAAAGGAAGGGAAGGAAGGAAGAGGGGAAGGTGTATTAAAACAAGGGAAAGAAGGAAAGAGAGAGGGAAGGGAAGGAAAAGGGGAAGAAAGGGAAAAGGAAGAAGGCAAAGAAAAAGAAGGGAAGGAAGGAAGAGAATGGAAAGGTTTTTGGGGAAAAACAAGGGAAGAAAAAAGAAAGGCGAGGATATATGAAGGAAAAGGATGAGGAAGGAAGGAAAAGGAAAGGAAGAAGGGACAACACTTGGGTATATAAGCTACTAATTAGATATTTCTTCATCCCTCTCTACTTTCTATTAGTCCCAGAATTGGGGGCTGCAAATGGAAAGAGAGTGGTTACAAAGTGGGAAAAATACCAACAGCCCAAGCCAAAAAAAAAAGGCGCAAGACATACTTCTGCCTGCATGTGCCACTAAACCGGTGTTTCTCAACCTGAAGGTTGAGACCCCGGGGGGGGGGGGGGTTGCCAAAGACAATTAGAAAATACTGTATTTTCTGTTGGTCATGGGGATTCTCTGTTGGACACCTGGCCCAATTCTATTGTTGGTGGCGTTCCGAATGCTCTTTGATTATACGTGAACTATACATCCCAACAACTACAACTTCCAAATGTCAAGGTCTATTTTCCCCAAACTCCATCAGTGCTCACGTTTGAGCATATTGAGTATTTGCGCCAAGTCTGGTCCAGATCCATCATTATTTCCCCCTCCCAGAGTGCTTGTTCCCCTCTTTGTGCTGGTCAGTGACCGTAATAAAGTTTTGTATTGAGTCCACCGTGCTCTCTGGATGTAGGTGAACTACAACTCCAATTTTACAACCCACCAAACCCAGTATTTTCTGTTGGTCATGAGAGTTCTGTGTACCAAGTTTGGTTTCCATTGTAGGTGAACTATAAATCCCAGCATCTACAACTCCCAAATGTCGATCAATCCTGCCCAGCCCCACTACTATTCAAATTTGGGCATGTTGGGTATTTGTGGCAAATTTTGTCCAGTGATCAAAATACATCCTGTATTTCAGATATTTACATTACGACTCTTAACAGTTGCAAAATTACAGTTATGAAGTAGCAACGAAAATAATGTTATGGTTGGGGGTCAACACAACTTGAGGAACTGTGTTAAAGGGTTAAGGCAACCTGGGGGTCGGGACCTCTGAGGGGGTCGCAAAGGGGTGTCAGAGGGGTCGCTAAAGACCATCAGAAAACACAGTATTTTCTGATGGTCATGGGGAAGTTTGAGCCAATTCTATCGTTGGTGGAGTTCAGAATTCTAGTGAACTATAAATCCCAGCAACTACAACTCCCAAAAGTCAAGGTCTATTTTCCCCAGGCTCCACCAGTGTTCACATTTGCATATTGAGTATTTGTGCCAAGTTTGGTCCAGATCCACCATTGCGTGAGTCCACAGTGCTCTCTGGATATAGGTGAACTACAACTCCAAAACTCAAGGTCAATACCCACCAAACCTTTCCAGTGTTTTCCGTTGGTCATGGGAGTTCTGTGTGGCAAATTAGGTTCAAATCCATTGCTGTGGAGTTCAGAATGCTCTTTGATTGTTGGTGTACTATAAATCCCAGTAACTACGACTCCCAAATGACAAAATCCATTTTTTTTTTGAGTGAAGGACATACGTTGGGGTGTTAGGTGTATGCTGTTCAAATTTGGTGTCAATTCGTCCAATGGTTTTTTAGTTCTGTGAATACCACAAACGAACATTACATTTTTATTTATATAGATTGTCACCATACTCAGACTAGCAATTAACTGCGTAGTAAGAAGGGAGGCCTACTGAAAACATACCTGGTTGGCAGTATCCTGAGTTTATGGTGTATTGTATCTTGTTGTTGTCGGTGGCCTTGGCCTTTGTAAGCTGCATCGAGTCCTTCGGGAAATTTTGCGGGGTATAAATAATAATAATAATAATAATAATAATAATAATAATAATAATAATAATAATAATAATTGATGCTGCTATTGAACAGAACTGGAAAGTTTCCCAGCAGAAAATACCATTTTTCTTGGGAATTATTTCTTGCATCGATGGAACGTGTTCATCTTTGTGCTTCTTCCAAGAACACTCCACAAGGATGATCTCTCTGTTTTATGACACATTTGGTATTCATAACAACATAGGCATTACATACGCATCCCACTCCACACAGGGAGAAAGGGCATGTTTACACGATACTTAAATGACAGCTAGAATTGAACCCCATTTCGAGAGCACATTTCCTCCTGAATCAGACTCGGCACCCGTTCGCTTCCCTTTGACCAACTCGGATAAAAGTCCCACTGACTCAGTCTGCTGACATTCAGCTTTCTCTTCAAGGAAACGAAGCCATAAACCTGGCACAAAGACTGTAACATGCTACGGAACAACTGCATCCCATCCCCACTCCTCACCGAGTCAAATGGCACTGGTATTGACTTTTGCTCCTCTGACACCTAGCACCTGAATCACTTCCTCTTGTAGGTCAAGAGAGTTCTTTGCGTCGGCAGATTTCCCACACTCCAGAAGTGTAATCATGACCTAAAACCCAGTGATGGATAAGCAAGGTGCCAACTTCAATTCCCCGCAGATTGCGAGTTAAGTGAAATAATTGGACGCTCCCTGGGAAGAAGTCCTCTCGTCCATGCTGGCGGTAGCGAGGCAGACTTCTTCATCTTCGCCCTCAAGCTGGAGGCTCCCAGAAGACAACCGGACCCTCGCCCGGGGGGCTCTCACCACCCTTCCGTAGAGAGAATAGTAATCCGGAAAGAGATCCGAATCAGAGTCGCTGGACTCCGTCCCACTGCCAACGTAGCGCTCTGTGCTCCGTTGGACTCTAGGAGGTTCTGGAAAGCCCTGATGAGCCCAGACGTACTTCAGAATATCAGACTTCCTGCTACTCAGAAGAGGACACGGCCCTAAAGGTCGAAACTCCGAGCCGTAGGGGAACCGGATTGTTTTGATGTCCGACTGGCTCCAGGATCTTTTGGGAACCTCCTGGACGTAATCGAAGACGCTGCTGTCATCTTCATGCTCCATACTGACGCTAGTGAGATAGGTTGTTCGAGGAAGGGGCTCCGGGTCGGGCACCCGCAGCCTTGTGGCCCCGGGGCTCCTCCTTCGAGGCTTCACGGGGGCCACACCAAGGACGTTCATGCCGCTCGTCACTTCCTCCACCGGGCCCATCGCCATGTGCCGTGCAAACTGAGTGGGCCTGTCCATGTAGAAGAAGACTTGGGGCGACCCCACATCGAATGATGGGTTGACCACATAGGGCACATCAGTATAGGCCAGACGCTGCCTGGGGGTTGCCTCTCGCACACTGCCCACTGAGGTGCTCTTACTGTTCCCGGCTACCCTGTAGCTCGGTTGGAAGGAGGTCAGTGGGACCCTCGATCCATAAAGGTCAGGAGGCTCCCAATCATCTTCCGGTTCAGTGTAGACCAGTTGGAAGGCGGAGCTGCTCTGGGAGTGAGCCAGCAACGTCGGGTCAGCTTCAGGCTTGGAGCGTTCCAGCTCATCCGCAAAGATCACCTCCATGGCAGAATTCCTCCGTCGGCTGCTGTCCAGGGTGGGCTCCGAGGTGTGGACGCCATTGGCCCCGTAGTAGCTCCCCATGTTGCCGTAAACCAGGCGCAAGTCTTCCAGCTATCAGGGGGGAAGAGAAGAGTGTTTTGAACAGTTGTGCTATCTCTTTGCCCCACCCTGGTCATTCCACAGATAAATACACCCATTTTCCTAGTTCCAACAGACCTCACTACCTCTGAGGATGCTTGCCATAGATGCAGGCGAAACATCTACAGCCCGAAAAAAACCTACAACAACCCATTTGTGCTATAGCAAGGCCTACAATGATTACACACGACTTGAGAGAATATTACATTTGCGTTGTAGGTTTTTCGGGCTATATGCCATGTTCTAGAGGCATTTTCTCCTGACGTTTCACCTGCATCCATGGCAAGCATCCTCAGAGGTAGTGAGGTCATCCTTAGAGGTAGTGAGGACTTGCGATACACACCTGTTCCATTCTTTCCTAAGTTACATACCTGCTTGGAAACGTCTGTAAGGAGATCTGGAGAGGAGCGGCATTGCCGGTCGTGGTACCGAGGGGAGTAGCGCTTCCTAGAATCAAACCAACACAACATGGCACGTTGATTTGTGCTTCCACCATTCAACTCCAGTAATCATAGAATCAAAGAGTTGGAAGAGACCTCATGGGCCATGCAGTCCAACCCCTTGCCAAGAAGCAGGAAAATTGCAAAGGCTGCAAACAAGCCTCCGGGAAAGGGGGGTGCAGGGCATCGAATGAATGAGTGGGGAGTTGGAGGGTGAAAAAAATCATACCTTTCAAATGGCAGGCTCTTGAGTTTCCCTTTCGTGCCGTGTTCCAGCAGCTGCCGCTGCGTCCGTCCGCTACCATTGGAAGCACAAGGGAAAACGTGAAAGGTTTGAATGATCCATCATTGAATGATGAATGAATAAACAACGATCCCAATGCACCATGGTCCCTAAATACAGGAATAGTCCCAATGCACAATAATAGTCCCAACACATCATGGTCCCTATATACAATAGTGGCCTCAATACACCATGATTCCTATATACAATAATGGTCCCAATGCTCCATGGTCCCTATATACATTAATAGTCCCAATACTCAGTAGTGGTGCCAATGCTCAATGCCCTTCTATACAGCAACAGTGTGGATGCACCATGGTTCCTATACAATAATGGTCCCAATGCATCATGGTCCATATATACTTTGATGGTCCCAATGCAGCCAATGCACCATAGTCCCAAATGTATAGTAATGGTGCCAATGCAGCATGGTCCCTATATATTATAATGGTGCCAGTGCTTCATGGTCCCTATATATAATAATGGTGCCAATGCATCATTATCCCTATATATAATAATGGTGCCAATGCTTCATGGTCCCTATATACAAAAATGGTGTCAATGCTTCATGGTCCCTATATACAATAACTACACATCCCAGCATTCTATAGAATGACTCCATGGCAGTGAAAGTGGTGTAACTTTGTGATAAATCTGTCGTGTGCACGGTCTGCAGTGCCCTCCCGTTGCCCCCTCCTTTCCTGGCCATTTTGGGAGGCTCACCTGTATCGGAAACTGGAGCCCTTGCTGCAGAGAAAGGCCTTGGGCTTGGACTTGGGCTCTTCGGAGAGGCGGAAGAAAGCATGGTACTCCACACATGTCTTCCAGAAGGCTTTGCACGTGTCTCGGTTAGCCATGGCAAACTCCAATGTGTCTTTGCACAAGGCCTGAGAAAGAGAGAGAGAGACCCACCCGTGAATGTCTCCAAATACGATTCAAATGTGCCGTCGACTCACGACAATTCCAAGAAACTTCCATTTATTTTCCTTGACTTTATCTCCTGTTTTATGTAGGGACTCACAAGAAATGCATCGCAATGCAAAGTCAATGCGGGACTCACCGCCATGTTGGCATGGAGCTTGATCAGGAAATGCTTCCGTTTGAAACTCAGCTTGCGGATTTTGGACCAGTTGAAGGTGTTGATCTTGGTATTTCCCTGGAAAACGAGCAAACGAGCCACTATTCCCACTTGGCTCAAGAACATGGCAGGATTTCTTGCTTGGACTACAACTTCCATCAACAACTGTAAGGGACTGCTGGCAACTCTAGTCTAGATGAAAAAAGTAGCTTTTCCAAACTCAGGTTTGGTTCTTTTTAGTAAAGAAGGCCCGAGACCTTGCCAAACTACAAATACCAGCATTCCATAGTATTGAGCCACAACAGGTAAAGTGGTGTTGAACTGCATTCGTTTGACAGGTTGAGAAACACACAACCCCAGGGGGGTTTCAGAGAGGTTGCCAATAACCATCAGAAAACACATATTTCTGATGGTATTAGGAACCCCTTTGGCAAAGAAGGTTGAAGATCTCTCCGCCTATATACAATAATGGTGCCAACTGTGTGGTAAGGTATTATTGTATGATGTGTTTATGCAACTCATATCATTTTTGACTATTCTAGTTTGTAGAAAAGTCAAAAATAATCTTTATGGGTTGGAAGGTGTGATGAAGCATTGATTTTTAACTGTAAGTTAAGCGTAGTTATGTATATGTATCTCTACAGTTAAATATGATTGTCTGTATGTATATGTGTGTGTGTGTGTGTGTGTGTGTGTATATGCTTAGATGGTTGAATATTATTATATGTACTAGCCGTCCCCTGCCACGCGTTGCTGTGGCCCACATGAGGGTTCTTTGTGGGAGGTTTGGCCAAATTCTATCGTTGGTTGGGTTCAGAATGCTCTTTGATTGTAGGTGAACTATAAATCCCAGCAACTACAACTCCCAAATGTCAAGATTCTATTTCCTCCATACTCCACCAGTGTACATATTTGGGCATATTGAGTATTTCTTGTGGAGTTTGGTCCAGATCCATCATTGTTTGAGTCCACAGTGATCTCTGGATGTAGGTGAACTACAACTCCCAAACTCAAGGTCAATGCCCACCAAACCTTCCAGTATTTTCTGTTGGTCATGGGAGTTCTGTGTGCCAAGTTTGGTTCAATTCATTGGTGGAGTTCAGAATGCTCTTTGATTGTAGGTGAACTATAAATCCCAGTAACTACAAATCCCAAATGTCAAGGTCTATTTCCTCCAAACTCCATCTGTGTTCATATTTAGGCATATGGAATATTTGTGTCAAGTTTGGTCCAGATCCATCATTGTTTGAGTCCACAGTGCTCTCTGGATGTAGGTGAACTACAACTCCCAAACTCAAGGTCAATGCCCACCAAACCCTTCCAGTGTGTTCTGTTGGTCATGGAAGTCCTGTATGCCATGTTTGGTTCAATTCCATTGGTGGAGTTCAGAATGCTCTTTGATTGTAGGTGAACTATAAATCCCAGCAACTACAACTCCCAAATGACAAAATCATAATCTTTTGAGTGATGGTCTCTTTTCTGCTGGTCATGGGAGTTCTGGGTGCCAAGTTTGATTCAATTCAATCATTGATGGAGTTCAGAATGCTCTTTGATTGTAGGTGAACTATAAATCCCAGCAACTTCAACTCCCCAATGACAAAATCATACTTTTTTGAGTGATGGTCACTCCTTGTGTAGTGAGATGTTTTGTTGCCAAATTTGATGTGATTTCGTTAATTGGTTCTTTTGTTTTTACGCCACTCATTACGACATGAGCATTTTTATATATATAGATTGCCAATCATTATCTTTTAAAGTCTGCAAAGGTTTTGCATGACAACGAAGTCTGAGAAAAACCAGGTCTTTGTGGTAATAGATAAAAAGTCCTATTTTAAAATATATACTTGGCACAAATACACACACACACATATATATATTCTTCTCAGTTTAGGGCTCCCCGCAGCCACATTGCATAGCAAACGCCACTCGGAAGACAGGGCTGTTCTGCAAATGTGCCAACGAATCGTCAAAACATGTAATTTCTCCAAATCACGCAGCTATTTTGGGCCGAAGATTATATGGTTGGAGAGATGTCTTGCTCCCATGTAACACCACGTTTGGACATCGAAGCACTTGGTTGACCATGTCCAGACCAAAGCGGAGCACCCACATCAAAGGGAAGTGGGAAAGAAACACAAAGGAGATGCTAGGTGTCTCCCTTCAGAGGCACTCCTCACCCGCAAAACCAGCACTCCCATATGAGCCACCGCCAAGTTGATCTGGGTGCCTTCTCCGTCGCTTGCCGGGTGGGGCCGGATCCCATACATTTCCAGCTTCCTTGCAATGTCCAGGAGCTGGATGTCCGACTCGCCTGGAGTTTTGCCTCTAGAGAAGAAAGAAAGAAAGAAAGAAAGAAAGAAAGAAAGAAAGAAAGAAAGAAAGAAAGAAAGAAGAAAGGAGGGAGGGAAGGAGGGAGAAGAGGAAAGGAAGAAAGTAAAGAAAAGAAAGTATAGGAGAAGGAAGGAAGGAAAGTAAGACAAAGGATATTATAAGGACGGAGGGAAAAGAAGGGAAGGGAAGTAAGAAAGGAAAAAAAGAGAAAGTATAGGTTAAGGAAGGAAGGAAGGAAGGAAGGGAGGAAAATAGAGGGGGTAGGATAAGGAAGGAAGGAGGAAGGGAGAAGAGAAAGGAAGGAAGTAAAGAAAAGAAAAGAAAGAGAAAGTATAAGAGAAGGAAGGAAGGAAAGTAGAAAGGAAAAAGGAAGGAGGGAAAAGAAGGGAAGGAGGGGGGGAAAGGGGGAGGAGGAAGGAAGGAAGGAAGGAAGGAAGGAAGGAAGGAAGGAAGGAAGGAAGACGGGCGGAAGGAAGGAAGGAAGAGAAAGAGAAAGGAAGGAAGGAAGGAAGGAAGGAAGGAAGAAAATAAAGAGAAAGAAAGAAAGGAAAGAAAGAAAGAAGCAAGAAAGGAAGGAAAAGAAATAAGAAGGAAGGAGGAGGAAGGAGGAGGGAGGGAAGGAAGGAAGGAAGGAAAATAAAGAGAAAGGATAGAAGAAAAAGGAAGGAAGAGAGGAAGGAAGGAAGGAAGGAAGGAAGGAAGAAGGAAAGGAAGGAAGGGAGGAGGGAGGAGAAGAAAAGGAAGGAAGGAAGGAGAGGAGGGAAGGAAGGGGAAAAAAGGAAAGAAAGGAAGGAAGGAAGGAAGGAAGGAAGGAAGGAAGGAAGGAAGAAAAGGAAGGAAGAAAAGGAAGGGATAGCATAAAGAAGGAGGAAAGAGAAGAGAAGGAAAGGGAAAGAGGAAGGAAGGAAAATAAAGAAAGGATAGAATAAGGAAGAAAAGAAGGAAGGAAAATAAAGGAAGGAAGGAAGGAAGGAAGGAAGGAAGAAGGAAGGAAGGAAGGAAGGAAGGAAGGAAGGAAGGAAGGAGGAAGAAGGAAGGAAGGAAAGAAGGAAGGAAAGAAAGAAAGAAAGAAGGAAGGAGGGAAGGAAGGAAGGAAGGAAAGAAAAAAAGAAGGAAAGAAAAAGGAAGGAAGGAAGGAAAGAAGAAAGGAAGGAAGGAAGGATAAAGAGGGAAGGAAGGAAAATAAAGGAAACATTGAAAGAAAGGAAGGAAAGATGAAGGAAGAGAGAAAGAAAAAGAAAGAAAGACAGAAAAAGGAAGGAAATGATAGGATAGGATGAGATGGGATGGGATGGGAGAGGAGAGGAGAGGAGAGGAGAGGAGAGGAGAGGAGAGGAGAGGAGAGGAGAGGAGAGGAGAGGAGAGGAGAGGAGAGGAGAGGAGAGGGAGGGAAGGAAATGTTGCAAACTTTGCTTAGGGATCCTTCTACACTTTAGAATAAATGCAGTTTGGCTCCACTTGAACTGCCATGGCTCAAGGCAATGCTGTCCTGGGAGCTGCCATTTTACAAGGTGTCCAGCATTCTCTGCCACACTACAACTCCCAGGGTCCTAGCCGTGAGCCATGGTGGCTAAAGTAGTGTCAGACTGCACTCTATTGATGCATCCCATTACGTTCTCCAAGATGCTGGAACCAAACCCCTAGAATAAATTATGGGTGTCTTTCCGATTGCGACTGCACGGAGAGAGGACTTACCGGTGTTTCTTGTGATAACGCATGATCTTGTCGGTCAGACAGTCTTGGTTTGCGAAATATTTGTGTGTCTCCAAGTGCTTCCAGTCTGTTTCCTCATGGAAATCTCCCAGTGTGGCTGAAAAAGGAAAGGACAAAAAGTCAAATGCTGTCCAGAAAAGCCAGATTCTACTAAACACAAGGCCAGAACTGGGAGTATAGGAATCATATTTATTGGAATTATCACTATTATTATTAATATTATTGACACAAAAGCACAGTATGTCACAGCAAATGAGACCTATATGCTGGATTTCGTATCACAAAATCAGAAGTCGAACACTTCCCAAGCGTCTAGGACTGTGTGATGTATTATTATTATTATTATTATTATTATTATTATTATTATTATTATTATTATTTCTTTGCTGCTTTTTCTTTCCTATAGACATTCAAAGTGGTGAACAGTGTGAAAAAACAATACCATATACAATTTGAAACCTAAAGAGTACATACAGTATAATAGAACTAAAACCCAGAGGCACCCAAAAAGGCCATTGTGCAGAAACCTTGTGCATTAATGTTCTTGTGTATTAATGCTATTGTGCATTTGTCTTGTGCATGAATGCTATTGTGCAGAAGCCTTGTACATGAATGCTATTGTGCAGAAGCCTTGTGCGTTAACACTACTGTGGCGAAGCCTTATGCATGAATGCCATTATGCAGAGTCCTGGGTGTTAACACTATTGTGCAAAAGGTTTGTGCATGAATGCAATTGTGCATGAACACTACTGTGAAAAATCCTTGTGCATCAATGCAATTGTGCAGAAACCTTGTGCATTAATGCTGTTGTGCATTGTTGCGGTTGTGCATTTGCCTTGTGTGTTGATGCTATTGTGCAGAAGCATTGTGCATGAATGCTATTGTGCGAATGCTTGCACGTGAATGTTCTTATGCATTAACGCTGTTGTGCGTTGATGCTATTGTGCAGAAGCCTCATGCATGAGTGCCATTATGCAGATTCCTGGGCGTTAACGTTATTGTGCAGAAGCCTTGCGCATGAATGCTCTTATGCATTAGTTCTATTGTGCATTTGCCTTGTGTGTTAATGCTATTCTGCATTTGGCTTGTGCATGGATGCTATTGTGCAGAAGCCTTGTGCATGAATGCCATTATGCAGATTCCTGGGCGTTAGTGCTATTGTGGAGAAGGCTTGCACATGACTGCCCTTGTGCAAAAGCCTTGTGCATTAACACTATTGCTCAAAATCCTCGTGCATCAATGCCATTGTGCAGAAGCCTTGTGCATTAACGCTATTGTGCAGATGCCTTTTGTGTTAATGCTATTCTGCATTTGCCTTGTGCATTTATGCTATTGTGAAGATGCCTTGTGCATGGATGCAATTGTGCTGAAGCCTTGTGCATCAATGCTATTGTGCAGAAGCCTTGTGCATGAATGCCATTATGCAGATTCCTGGGCGTTAGTGTTATTGCGGAGAAGGCTTGCACATGACTGCCCTTGTGCAGAAGCCTTGTGCATTAACACTATTGCTCAAAATCCTTGTGCATCAATGCCATTGTGCAGAAGCCTTGTGCATTAACGCTATTCTGCAGATGCGTTGTGTGTTAATGCTATTCTGCATTTGCCGTGTGCATTTATGCTATTGTGAAGATGCCTTGTGCATGGATGCTATTGTGCTGAAGCCTTGTGCATTAATGCTATTGTGCAGACGCCTTGTGCTTTAACACAATTGTGCAGAAGCCTTGTGCATGAACGCTATTATGCAGCTTCCTGGGTGTTAGTGTTATTGTGGAGAAGGCTTGCACATGACTGCTGTCGTGCAGAAGCTTTGTGCATTAACACTACTGCTCAAAATCCTTGTGCATCAATGACATTGTGCAGAAGCCTTGTGCATTAATGCTATTGTGCAAATGCCTTTTGTGTTAAAGCTATTGTGCAGATGCCTTGTGCTTTAATGCTATTCTGCAGAGGCCTTGCAAAATGAGATGCCCAACTCATTTTGCCAGGCTTGCCAATGGCATAACCTTGTGGTGCGGAGTTCCAGAGGCCAAACCACGCGGACATACATTGCAAAAGGTGGGAGACCATCAGAGCCAAACTGTTATCACTGCAAGGAAGGCTTCCGCAGGCCAGGTCCTTCTTGATCTGGAGAGTGAACAGGTACCTAAAAGCCATTTCGGAGACATTATTATTATCTATATAAAGAAAAATGTAATGTTCGTTTGTGCTATTCACAGAACTCAGAAACCACTGGGGCAATTGACACCAAATTTGGACACTATGTCCCTAACAACCCAATGTATGTTCTCCACTCAAAAAAACAACGAAAACAAAAAGCAGAAAGGACTTCTAAACTGCATGTCCACAAAGGAGAAACTGCATGTCTACCGAGACCCATGGCCACGCCCCTCTTCCTCCTCGTGGGGCAACAGCCGTTAAAGCCAAGTGCATGTGCACGGCCACACACACACACACACACAAGCGAGTGGAGTGGAGGTGGAGGCTTGCCGCATGTAGCCCCTTCTCTTCCCCTCCTATGTCAGGAGAGCAGTCTCCTCCTCCTTTCCCTGTTGGAAAGTGCCAGCAGCAGCAACCGAGTGCTCCACGCAAGGAAGAAGGGGAGGAAGAGGAGGAGGAGGAGGAGGAGGGGGAGGAGGGGAGGGAGGGGGAGGAGGAGGAGGGGGGGGAGAGGGGAGGGGGGAGGAGGAGGCGGAGGAAGGTCCACAGTGCTTGAATGAAGGACCTTCCTTCTCTCCCTCCCCTCCCTTCCTCCCTTTCCTTTCTTCCTTTTCTTCTTTCCTTCTCCTTCCTTTCCTTCTTTCCCTCCTTCCTTCCTTCCTGTCCCTCCTTCCTTTTTCCTTTCCTTCTTTTTCTTCCCCTCCCTCCTCCTTCTTTCCTTCTTCCTTCTCTCCCTTCTTCTTTCCTTTCCTCCTTCCTCCTTTCTTCCTCCCCCTTCCCTCCTTCTTTCCTTTTCCTTCTTTCTTTCCCTCCCTTCCTTTTTCCTTCCTTCCTTCCTGTCCCTCCTTCCTTCTTCCTTTCCTTCTTTCTATGTAAGATATAAATACAATATTAAATGGAAGAGACAGTCAAGAAGTAACGAGAGAAGGAGGGAAAGATGGAAGGAAGGAGAGAAGGAGGGAAAAAAGGAAAAGAAAGATAGAGAAGCAAGGAAGGAGAGAAGGAAATAAAAAAGTGAAAGGAAAAAGAGAGGGAAGGAAGGAGAGAAAGAACAAAAGATAGGGAAGGAAGGATGTAAGAGAAGGAGGGAGGGAAAAAAGGAAAAAAAGAAAGATAGAGAAGCAAGGAAGGAGAGAAGGAAATAAAAAAGTGAAAGGAAAAAGAGAGGAAGGAAGGAGAGAAGGAACGAAAGATATGGAAGGAAGGAAAGAAGGAGAGAAGAAACGAAAGATAGGAAAGGAAGGAAGGATGTAATCAAAGAGCAAAGAAGGGAGGAAAGAAACAGGTAGAGATGGAAGAAAGATGAGAGATAGGGAAAGAAAAAGAGGAAAGGAAGGAAAGAGGGAAGGAAGGAAAGAAAGAGGGAGGGAAGGTTGGCCACAGCAACGTATGGCGGGTACAGCTAGTTCTGAATATTTCTGCTCTACTCTCTCATACATAACACACTGATATCTGCTTTCCAGTTTGGGTGCTGAGAGAATTGCTTTAACTATGACTGAGGATGGATTTGAACCTGATATCCCAGGACCTCTAGTCTTAAACTGCATTATGATTTAAATTACACTAAAGAACAAAAGGTAGGATTCCCATTTAATATTGGTGGCTTCGAATCTTAGACTATTATTATTATTATTATTATTATTATTATTATTATTATTAAAACCAACACACAAAGGCGCCTACCTCGTCAGCTCTTCTTTCAGATGGGCCGGATCCACTGGGAAAAATTTCACCATAAATTTGAAAAGAATCTCCTTAGGATCTTAAAACACAACATCTTCATAAGTTTGGGGTCAGTGGTCTGTCGGGAACATTCACACATCTCTTCATGCAGCTTTCCCCTAAGTCTCTAAGGCATGCACAGAGTGTCAGTTCATCCCTCCGATTTGCACCTTATCTACACCTGCTAAGGGCTTCCCTCTCTTTGGGTGCGTCTACACTGCAGAATTTGGCACCACTTTCGCTACCCCGGCAATTCCTGGGTTTGCAGGTTTGCATACTCTTTAGCCCTCTCTGCCCTTGCAAAACTACAACTCCCAGGATCCCATAGCATTGAGCCAGGGCAGTTAAAGTGGTACCAAACTGCGTTCTTTCTACAGTCTAGACCAGGAGTCCTCAAACTTTTTAATCAGAGGGCCCGTTCAGGGTCCCTCAGACTGATAGTAGTAGTAGTAGTTGTTGTTATTGTTTTGTTGTTGTGTGCCTTCAGGTCAGTTCAAAGGCAACCCTTCCTCAGAGTTTTCTTGTCCAAATTCATTCAAAGGGGATTTGCCTTTGTCTTCCTCTGAGGCTGAGAGAGTGGGACTTGGCTAAAGTCACCCAGTGGGTTCAGAGCTCAAGTCCGAGGTTCAAATCACTGCACCACATTATATTAATCCCTTCCCTCTCTATTTCCTACCAACCTTCCTTTCTCCCTTTCTTACTTTCCTTCCTTCCCTCTTTTTCCTTCCTTCCTTCCTTCTTTTTAAAAACACAGTTCTGAACAGATTGCGTACATAATAAGTGTGTCATTAATCACAATTTGATTAATATGATTTAAGTCAGTAATTAATTTTAGTTTAATTAATTAATTCCTTAATCTTAGTTCCTAACTTCTGATTTAATCAAATACATCAGGATATAGTGCTGTTCTTCAGTTAACTTAGGTCTTTTATTTTATTTCGTATTATTCCTTCCACTAACGTCCTTCCTTGTCTCGCGCTTTATTTGTAATCTTCCTTATTTACTTCCTCTAATGAGTTACTCTTCTTTAATTCCTTCTTATTCCATCATGACTCTATATTTAGTTAGTTTCCGTTAGTCCACTTCCTCAATTTTACACTTATATCGATATTTGTTTATTCTTCCTTGAGTCAAACACTCCTTCTTCATCTCTACTCTATCTTTTCGTATGTACTCCTTCCTGACTACATTGCTGCATCTCTTCTTACTACCTCATAATAAGCCATCCGTAAATATATCTATCAATCTTTTCATTAAATAATTAAGTAACTAATTTCTTCACTCTCCTCCATTTCTTTTCTTTTTCTTCCTTCCTTTACTTCTTCCCTTGCTTTTCTTCATACACATTCCTTCCTTTTCTTCCTTCCTTCCTTCCTTCTTTCCTTCCTTTACTTTCTCTTCTCTTTTTTCTTTCCTCCCCCCTTCCTTTCTTTTCCCTTCTTTTTCTTCCTTCCTTTCCTTCATCTCTTCATTTCTCCATTCCTTATTCTTCCCTGGGCTGCCTTTGCCTTCCTTTTAGTGGAATGTGTGTACCTTGCTCAAGGTCAGTCATTGGTTTTCCTTGGCCAAATGGGATTCAAACACTGGTCTACATATATAGTTGAACTTTGGACTCCTATTCCAATGCTCAGCCTCTACACCAGGGTCCTCAAACTTTTTAAACAGAGGGTCAGGTCACAGTCCCTCAAACTGTTGGAGGGCCGGATTATAATTTGAAAAAAAGAATGAATTTCTATGCACACTGCACATATCTTATTTGTAGTGCAAAAAACACTTAAAATACAATAATTAAAATTAAGAACAATTTTAACAAATATAAACTTATTAGTATTTCAATGGGAAGTGTGGGCCTGCTTTTGGCTGATGAGATAGGATTGTTGTTGTTGTGTTTTCAAGTCGTTTCAAGCTTAGGTTGACCCTGAGCAAGGGCCGGGTAAATGACCTTGGAGGGCCACATCCGGCCCCCAGACCTTAGTTTGAAGACCCCTGTCCTACTGCCTTCCACTCTTTCTGTGTTGTCCCATCCATCTGCCTTACTTTCGGCACAACAATGACAAAAACAAGGAGTGAGAGGAAGGAATACACACGAACCCACAAGGTCCTCATTCTCACTCTAAGTTTCAGGCAGGGGCTGAGTAAAAGGCCTCGGAGGGTCAGATGCGGCCCGTGGGCCATAGTTTGAGGGCCCCTGATATAGACACACCCTTTGTTATTTTCAAACCCCATCAGTGAGAGAGAGCTGGGCAAGCAAATCTATGGGAGTTCAGCCTAAACTTCTATCCTGACAACCACTTGTGATTCTGTTATATTCTTTGGTGTAAATTAAATACACGGAAACACTTACTTTTAATCTGCTTTGTGATAGGCTTGAGAAGTTCCAGCCAGGCCTAGAAGAATAGAGATAGAGATAAAATGAGTCATCGATTTCGAACTGTTTCGATCCAGAAATTAAAAGCAACTATGGGTACAGCTATGTTGTAGAATTAGTGCAGTTTGGCACTTGAACTGCCATGTCTCAATGTTTAGGGACCTTGGGAGGCGTAGTTTTACAAGGTCCCGTGCCTTCCTTGCCAAAGTGGTGCTACAACTGTTTGGAGAGGGTTTTTGCAAGCTAGATCTATATACTTGCACCTTAGAGAGCTAGGGGCAAGAATGCCAGGATGAAGACTTAAGCTTATCCTTTTCCCAGATGCACTAGTTTTCTGTTGGCAGTAATGGGGAGATATTGGAAAAAAATAGATATTTATTTATATATAAATTGTATGTACTTTACAAGCACTGAAATGTATAGAAAAATCAGGTTCTCTCTCTGTATTAGAAAGAATGCTGAAGGAGATCTGTGTTCAAGGCATGGGCAGGAGGGGGATGAACATTTCAGGAAGGGGGGAGATAAGCCCATCCTAGTAGCAACAGATATAAGTAAAAAGTTAGGAGCCAATCTCCCTCCCTCCTGACAAGTCAAAGTAGGCCCCTTGATTAATGGATGTAAGCTGTATGCTGCTCTTTAGAAAGAAATACAGAGACATGCCTTTTGTATGTTGGAAGATAGAATTTGATATCCCTATGATGCTAAAGTGACGCAGAGAATGATGTCAATGTATGTAGAAGCATGTTTCTTTGTTTGCCTGCATTTGAAGTGTATAAAAGGCAGTCAGCGCCTTTATCGGGCACTCTGGTTGCTTTTGGACACAGCTCCACTCCAGGGTCCCAGCTGGAAATAAAGCCATACTTTTCTATCTCCGGAAAGGATCTCGCTTGATATTATCTCTCCTATTTGCTATAACAGCAGAGAAGTTGATAACTTTTGGATTTCCTTCAGTATATCTTTCATTTTTACAACTTCTTCTGAGCCTTGGGAGCCTCTTCTTGCCGCTATGGCTAATTTTGAGTCTTTATCTTTTTCCATTTTATTCTTGAGTGTTGGCTTTCTATATCTTCTATTTCTTTATATGGGGGAGAGAATCAGATACTAGTTCAACAATTCAGTTTTCCACATCTTATGTACTGTACAATTTATGATTTGGGGAGTTTAGAGTCTTGGTAGCTGATTTTTTTTTAATTCTTTGTGTTTAATTTAATTCAACAGTTCACTATCTCAAGTTTATTTTGTCGTATTAATTTTAAAAGGCGGAGGGCAAGAGGATCTGTTTCTTAATGTGTACAAATCAAACCTTTAATTAATTATTATTGTTGTATTTATTTATTTATTTCTATATATATATTTTCTTAATTCAGTATTTAGACAATATAATTTCCTCTTTTTTTAAAATTTTTATTTGTTATTTTATTAATTTATTTTTTGTTTTTATTTTATTTATTATTTTTGTTATTAAGGTTCTAGAATTGATTAATATTTACTGCACTCTTATAATATCTCTTTCTCTTATATTTCCCTAAATTTATTTTCTTCCTTCTTCAATTTTATTTCTCTTCGTCCAATTTCTTCTAGAATTTATCTTCTTTCCATTTAATATTAGTCGTTCTTCTTCCTTAATCCTCCGTAAGTATCAGACTCTTGCCTCCCGACGTTCCGCTCCGCCCCACTCTCCGCCACTCTCCTCTTCTCTTCAACTCTCCAACACTCTTGCCTCCCGTCGCACCACTTCGTCGCACCGCTCCGTCTCTTCTCCTCTTCTTCCCCTCGATACTCTTGCCTCCCGACGAGCCGCCAGCACTCACCCCTCAGCACTCTGCTCCATCCCGTCACCTCTCCAACACAGCCTGGTCGTTTTCAGAAACTTCCCCTTCTCGTATTTCTCATAACTTCCGTAGATTCCGTAATCTCCGTAGTCTCCGTAGTCTCCTTTCCGCACTTCCGCCCTTTGCGCCCTTAGCACATCCGCCTTCTTCCGCCCTCATATCTGCGTCTGCGTCTGCGTCTTACGTCAGATCCGGAGTGGCGACTTTCCTGTCCTGGCTTTCCTGTTTGTTCCGGGTTTTCGCGCGGTTTCTTCTTTTGTCCCTCCTCTTCCGGATTCTTCCCGTATGTTTATGAAGAAGTTCCTCGCAGACTAAACATCATGGCGTCAAGGTCAGAAGTGCCTTTTCCAGTTTTCCAGTTAATTTTTGACTTTCTGTTGAGGTCGAGGGGGAGGATTCGCTATCTGCTGTCTCCCCCTCAATTCTCCTCAATTCTTTTACAATTAATCTCCTTCAATATTTCAAAATTTCAAAATTTCAGGGCGCCCTTGTCCAGTCTATAGCAGTCATATCTCCTTTTTTCTTCTTAGACACCCCTAAGGTGTTTCTTTATTTAAGTCTTTTCCTTCTTGGTTTCCGTTTCCCTCCTGCCCCCTTATCCTATATGGCTATCGGGGAGGGGTTTTGTGCAACTTTGTCCCAGAATTTATTCTTTAGGAAACTTACGTTTCTCTTGTTCCAAACGGAGTTCTTGTTATTTCTTCTTGTTGTCTGTGAGGGCAGTGACAGTTTTTGCTGCCTTGTGGCAGCTTTTCACAGAGTGGCTTGCTACCCCCGGTCCGTCCGGATCCTCTTGCCCTCCTCCCTTGAGGGGGGGGGGGTTGGGACCTCGGACCTGCCTAGGGGTTTTTTGCACACCTTCAGGTCTCGATCTGCCCAAAGGTGGGGAGCTACCGCTCTACCAGCCTCTCAACGTGATTCCCCCTCTGAGGAGCTCTCAGAGGGACCGTCCTGTCGCCATTTTCCCTCACCGGAAGTCCCCATAACAGCAGAGAATTTAATGTTGTTTCTAAAGAAGGAATATTCCACCCTAGAAGTACCCCAGCATCTGAGATCGGCAGAGACAACTCACCGAGCATATTTTGCACTAGAAATTACAGAGAAAGCACCTCGTCTTCAACTTACAGCATGCCCCGCAGAACTCCAAAACTCCAGTCCAAAGTATTCCTTTTCTGTAAGGTTCAAGTGGCTGCAGCTCAGGTTGAATAAGGTCCTCCCAGATGATTTTTGCTATTGAAAAGAGGAAGGAAGGAAAAAAGAGAGGAAAGGAGGGAAGGAGGGAAGGAAAAGAGAAAGGGAGGGAGAAAGTGAGAAAGGAAGGAAAGGAAAGGAGAGGAGAGGGAAGAAGGAAAAGAGGCGAAGGAAGGAAGGAAGGAAGAAGGGAAGGAAGGGAGTGGATGAGGGAATGAAAGGAAGGGAAAAGAAGGAGGGAGGGTGGGTGAGAAAGAGAAGGAAAGAAAAGGAAAGGAAATAGAATCAATATTAAAAATTAAATTTGAATTAAAACCAGAATACCTACTGTTAGGTATTACAGATTTTGGCATGGACACAAATATGAATATATATTTATTGTTATTTAATAACAGCAGCAAGAATAAAACTGGCACAGCTGTGGAAATCTCCGGAAACACCTTCAATAGAGCAATGGACACTGAAGGTCCTCAATATCATGAATATGGACATTCTTACACAAAGACTATCACAACAAAACAGGCCTAAAACAACTGACTGGACTAACTTCCTCCAATTCCTAAACGAGGAAAAAAATAAATAAAAATGAAATATAACTGAATAAAACACCCGGGGGACATACAGTTCCAAATAGACAATCTAAATATTAAAAATAAGGTAAAATATAATAAAAAATATAATAATAATAATGATAATGATAATTTAATAATTAATAAAATAAAATAATAACAATATAAACAGCAGTAGAATAGAAAAGTAAAAATGAAAAATTAGAAAGACAATCTTGATTATGTCCCCAGGGAAATACCAAACACCAATAGATTTTAATGAAATAAAGACAAGACCCCTCTCAGACTTCCCTCCAGCTTCCAGACGGATCGGAACCAGTCCAAAGAAGACAAAACAGAAAGCTACCCTTGACCAACCTGGAAGTACTTTTCTCTATGGAGAGAATCATAGAATCATAGAATCAAAGAGTTGGAAGAGACCTCATGGGCCATCCAGTCCAACACCCTGCCAAGAAGCAGGAATATTGCATTCAAATCACCCCTGGCAGATGGCCATCCAGCCTCTGTTTAAAAGCTTCCAAAGAAGGAGCCTCCACCACACTCCGGGGCAGAGAGTTCCACTGCTGAACGGCTCTCACAGTCAGGAAGTTCTCATGTTCAGATGGAATCTCCTTTCTTGTAGTTTGAAGCCATTGTTCACGTCCTAGTCTCCAAGGAAGCAGAAAACAAGCTTGCTCCCTCCTCCCTGTGGCTTCCTCTCACATATTTATACATGGCTATCATATCTCCTCTCAGCCTTCTCTTCTTCAGGCTAAACATGCCCAGCTCCTTAAGCCGCTCCTCATAGGGCTTGTTCTCTAGGCAAGTATGTCCAGGGTGGGAGAAAGAACTCTTGTTTGCTTGAGGCAAGTGTGTATGTTGAAGTTGGCCACCTTGATTAGCATGTAATGGCCTTGCAGCATGTAATGGCATATTATTTGAGAACACTCTAACAACCATCATGTTTGACTACAGAGAAGCCACTGAAATCCACAAGCATGTGGACAATTTCAACAGAAAAGAGGAAACCATGAAAATGAACACAATCTGGCTACCAGTATTTAAAAAAACCCTCTAAAATCAGAACAGTAAATAAAGAGCACTCCAAAAGCAGGACCATATCTCCATGCGAATGAGGAGTGAATGATATAGTATGTGTGTGTGCGAGAATGAGAAATCCCCCCTTCCCTCCCCCTTCTTTCCCCTCCCACCCCTCTTCCACACTTTCCTATCCGTTACCAATTGTTCCACCACTTTTTATGTATCTAAAAATCCACAATAAAAATATATATATTTTAAAAAAGAGTATTCTGAACTCCGACAATCGTGGAATTGATCCAAACCTGGCATACAGAACTCCCATGACCAACAGAAAATACTGGAGACATTTGGGGTAAATAGACCCTGACATTTGGGAGTTGCAGTTGCTTGGGATATATAGTTCCCTTGTCATTAAAAGTATTCTGAACTCCGACAATCATGGAATTGATCCAAACCTGGCATACAGAACTCCCATGACCAACAGAAAATACTGGAGACATTTGGGGTAAATAGACCCTGGCATTTGGGAGTTGCAGTTGCTTGGGATATATAGTTCCCCTGTCATTAAAAGTATTCTGAACTCCGACAATCATGGAATTGATCCAAACCTGGCATACAGAACTCCCATGACCAACAGAAAATACTGGAGACACTTGGGGTAAATAGACCCTGGCATTTGGGAGTTGCAGTTGCTTGGGATATATAGTTCCCCTGTCATTAAAGAGTATTCTGAACTCCGACAATCATAGAATTGATCCAAACCTGGCATACAGAACTCCCATGACCAACATAAAATACTGGAGAAGTTTGGGGAAAATATACATATCTTGACATTTGGGAGTTGCTGTTGCTTGGTGCATTCTGGAGTCTGTGCCTAGATCCGGCAGGGAGGCTCGTGCCTCCGGCAAGCCCGGCAGGTGGTGAGAGCTGGGCACAGGATGATCCCCCACACGGCCTGACCTTACATGGGACCTCTTGCTGCCGGCGGGAGAGCCATCGAGGTGAGAAAGGCCTCGCGTAAGGCAAGGCCTTGTGTGAAGTGGCCCTCGCCTGACCTGCACCCCTGCCGACTTGGCTGTTTCCCTGGCACAGGGGCCGGCAGCCATTTTGAGGAGGCGGAGGGGGCGGGCCCAACCGAGGTGCCTTCACAAACCCCAGAAAATGGCCTGGCGACCCCTCTGGTGGTCGCGACCCCCAGGTTGAGAATCGCTGAGTTGCACTTAAGTACTGTTCTGTCGCGCGCTGGGAATGTACAGCTGTCTTTTCTATAGGACGTATACTTTAAGCCCACCGAGAAGCTGGGGCGCCTCAAAGAGAGGTTCTCAGGGATTTTTCTGAAGTAATGGTCTTTAGAGTCTTTAATTATACAACAAACAACAAATCTTCAATGGTTCAAACAACACTTCAAGGCTTTCTTAGTCTAGTCCTCAATGGACTGGCACCTGACTTTGATTAACTGTACTGTCTCTGTAGGAAAAAACCCTTTTTAACCTCTCCCAGGCTGTTTACTATCTATGCCTCATCGGTGTGGGTCCTACTACCGATTCCAAATGCGTCTGGGTGTCGAGTAGACCTACCAGCCGAGGCTTGTAGATATTTCAGTTGGAGTTCCGTGGATCTGTATTGCTGTCCTCCCTCGGATAATTCTTTTAAAACTTCAGGGCTGTTTTCCCTTTGATTGCTGTGAGGCTGAGAGGCTGTGAGCTCTCAGCCAGAACCTTGGGACCTTTTCCCTGGAATTTCTGTTTCTGTTTCCCCGGATGTTCTTGAGAAAAGAAGCTTTTCTACGGGACGAGCTGGTCCTATAGTTTAGCTTCCTTATGTGAGACTGCCCAAAAAATGGCTCCTTTCCCTCCCAGAGCCCTGAACAAGGGGCGGAACCAAAGCTTAATTATGATGGACAGGAGGCCTGCCCTATGACTGCAAACAGATAACAGAAAGAAAATAAAGTTGGAGCTCGTACCAGCACAAGTACCATTCACCCTCAGACCTTGATGCAAAGTACTACAGTAACCACTGTTCTCAAATGCAGCTTGCGCATCTCCGTCTTTTGCAGAACCAGGGAAATTGAGGGTTGTTTGCGCACTGTGAGACCTGAACGCTACCATGTCACACATCATCCCCGGCTGCGTTCGCGGCGAATGAAATTGCTATCTCTGGCACAAAAGGCAGCGGGGGCAAATGACAGGGAAATAACAGTGTTGTCTCGGGTGCCCTTCTAAATGGCTGCACCAGAGCAGTAATTAAAAGCATTATCTTCATATCCTGCGCAATAATATTTGGGAACCTTGTTGTGGGAGGCAGAAAAGGCGGAGAGCTATGTTCGCACCGCAATGAGCAAGCTCGAGGTGACGGCACATAACTTTGTGCTCAGGGTGGTGCACAGAATCTTAGAGTTGGAAGAGAGCCACCAAAGGTCATCTAGTCCAACCCCGTTCTGCCATAGAGGAAGACACAATCCAAGCTCTCTCGACAGATGGCCATCTAGCTTCAGTTCAAAAATCAGAGCCCCGGTGGCGCAGTGGGTTAAACCCCTGTGCCAGTAGGACTGAAGACCGACAGGTCTCAGGTTCGAATCTGGGGAGAGGCGGATGAGCTCCCTCTATCAGCTCCAGCTCCTCTTGCGGGGACCCGAGAGAAGCCTCCCACAAGGATGATAAAAATATCAGAAATCATCTGGGCGTCCCCTGGGCAACATCCTTGCAGACAGCCAATTCTCTCACACCAGAAGCGACTTGCAGTTTCTCAAGTCGCTCCTGACACGACAAAAAAAAAGTTCAAAAACACCCAGAGATGGAGACTTCACTGGACTCCTAGGCAGTCTGTGCTTCACTAGAGTCAGAAGGGGTTCCTAAAGGGCATCCTGCTCATCCCCTTCTGCCATTAATGAAGACACAATTAAAGCCCTCTTGACAGATGGTCATCTAGCCTCAACTCAAAAACATCCAAAGATAGAGACTCCACTGGACTCCCAAGCAGTTTGTGCTTCACCATAGTTTGAAGGGGTCCCTAAAGGACATCTAGTTCAACCGCTTCTGCCATTAATTAAGACACAATCGAAGCCCTCCCGACAGATGGCCATACAGATGGCCATACAGAGATGGAGACTTGGCTGGACTCCCAGGCAGTCTGTGCTTCACTAGAGTCAGAAGGGGTCTCTAAAGGGCATCTAGTTCAATCTCTTCTGCCATTAATGAAGACACAGTGAAAGCCCTCCCGACAGATGGCCATCAAGTCTCAGCTCAAACAACATTCAAAGATAGAGACTCGACTGGTGTCCCAAGCAGTCTATATTTTACTAAAGTTTGAACCGCATCTGACATTAAAGAAGACACAAAGCCCTCCCGACAGATGGTCATCTAGCCTCAACTCAAAAACATCCAAAGATAGAGACTCTACTGGACTCCCGGGCAGTCTGTGCTTCACCAGAAATTGAAGGGGTCACCGAAGGGCATCTAGTCCACCCCCTTCTGCCATTAATGAAGACACAGTCAAAGCCCTCCTGACACATGGCCATCAAGGCTCAACTCAAAAACATTCAAAGATAGAGACTCTACTGGACTTCCAGGCAGTCTGTGCTTCACCATAGTTTGAAGGGGTCCCTAAAGGGCATCTAATCCAACCCCTTCTGCCATTATGGAAGGCACACAGTCTTCCCAACAGATGGTCATCTAACCTTAGTTCAAAAAGATCCAGAGATGGAGACTCCACTGGACTCCTAGTCAGTGTATGCCTCACCAGAAACTGAAGGGGTCACCAAAGGACATCTAGTCCACCCCATCTGCCATTAATGAAGACACAGTCAAAGCCCTCCTGACAGATGGTCATCAAGCCTCAACTCAAAAACATCCAAAGATAGAGACTCCACTGGACTCCCAGGCAGCCTATACTTCACTAGAGTTTGAAGGAGTCTCTAAAGGGCATCTACTCCATCCCCTTCTGCCATTAATGAAGACACAGTCAAAGCCATCCAGACAGATGGCCATCAAGCCTCAGCTCAAAAACATTCAAAGATAGAGATTCCACTGGACTCCCAGGCAGTCTATACTTCACTAGTTTGAAAGGACATCTAGTTCAACCGCTTCTGCCATTAATGAAGACACAATCAAAGCCCTCCCAAAGGATGGCCATCAAACCTCAGTTCAAAAACAGTCTATGGGACTATGACTTTCCTCGATCTAGACACTACACAACTTTGAATGCTGCATCGCACCCCATTGGCCTTTGTAGCTGCTGCATCACGCTCTTGGCTCATGTTCAACCACTTGTCCACGAAGACTCCGAGATCTTTTCCGCATGGGATTCTGTTGTCGATCCCTCGTGGTGTCTCTGTGCCAAAGTGAAATATCCTCCATTTCTCCTCCTTGAAATTCACTGCTCGGTTTGGATGCCATGGATATTTGCGACATCCTTGGACAAGCTCAGCGCGGCCCTCTTTCTCTGTCCCCGAAACCCATCTCCAACAACCGACGCTCGACATAAAGGTTTTGCTGGAGACGTAGTGCCCCAAGGGCAGCTCTTCCATTCCAGACTCATTCAGGTCCGGCTCCTTTGTGGGCCGTTCAAGCCTCAAATGCATTTGATGCCCAGGAGGGCTTCTCTTTCTTGAAAAAGGAAATTTTCAAACCTTAATGGAAACCATTCCACGCCCACAACCGTATTGTGCTGAACAGGAAAAAAAGCAAGACAAGAATAGAGTTGTCCCCAAGTCCCGGCGAGAATCAGTCGCATGCAATTCAGTGCGGGTTTTTTTGCTCCTTTTGCAGCATCGCCAATCTGTTTCAGTGCTCAGCCAAAGATGACTACAGCTCCCATCAATCCCCAAATGATGATAATGATGGGAGTTGTAGTTTTGGGGGGAAGGGGGAACTGGAAACTATCCTAAAAATATCGCCATAAGTGGGTTGTTGTGAGTTTTCTGGACTGTCTGGCCATGTTCCAGAAGCATTCTTTCCTGACATTTCGCCCACATCTGTGGCAGGCATCCTCTGAGGTTGTGAGGTCCGTTGGAAACTATGCAAGTGGAGTTTATATTGTTTAGGGTGGGAGAAAGAACTCTTGCCTGTTGGAGGCAAGTCTGAATGTTGCAATTGGCCATCTTGATTAGCATTGAATGGCCTTGCAGCTTCAAAGCCTGGCTTGTTGCTGCCTGGAGGATCGTTTGTTGGGAGATGTTAGCTGGCCTCAGGAGAGAATGCTTCTGGAATATGGCCATATAGTCTGGAAAACTCACAACAACCAAGTGATTCTGGCCATGAAAGCCTTCGACAATACAATAATAATTCATTCTTTTTTTCCTTCCTTCCTTCCTTCCTTCCTTCCTTTCTGTCTTCTTTCTTTCTTTCTTTCTTTCTTTCCTTCCTTCCTTCCTTCCTTTCTGTTTTTCTTCCTTCCTTCCTTCCTTCCT